CATCCGCGAACCAGCCGGACGCCGCAGAGAGGCGTTGGTCGTCCTGGATTCCTACCGCGGGCATTTGACCGAAGCCGTGGGTCATAGCATGCGCATGTTCCGGTTGACGCGGGCGGTCATCCCGGGGGGGTGCACCCGCTTCTGCAGCCGTTAGACGTATCCGTGAATCGCGCGTTCAAGGTCGGTACGCGTCACCGCTATGGCACTTGGTTTGAAGACGCCGGGATCAACACGAGGACGCGTGCAGGTGAGAGCGTACCGTGCTTTCTCATCGTGTTGTTGTGCATGTGTGCCTGTGTTTTTTATCAAACCACTCGGTGTGTGCCTTGCCCATCCCTCAAGCAATCTGCAGAAGCCTCCCGCGGAGGCCGGAAGCGTGAACGACTGCTCAATGCCCTCCTGCTGACAGAAGGCCTCCAAGAGGCCAGAGGAAAACTCTCCACCTCTGTCAGAGTGCAGACGCAGGACAGGGAAGTCGGAGTGGAAACGCTCACTGAGCTGGAGACGAGATCTGCGGATCCAAGGGATCAAGACATCAGGGACGTCACCCTTGGTGCGCAAGGGGAAGACCGTGGTGTAGCGCGAGAAGTCGTCAACAACAATCAGGAAGTACCTCTCCTGACCCTGGCCACGGACGCGGGCTGGGCCCCACACGTCCATGTGGAGCGTCTGCAAAGGAGCAGTCGTCGGGGGAAAGGAGGAGGAGTGAGGAGCGGCGCGCTGCCGCCCCTCGACACAGGGAAGACAGGGAGGAGCAGGTGAGGCTGGAAGGGGAGGGAGCACCCTGGGAAGCCCAGCAACAAGGTCCCGTTTGTGCATGGCCCGAAGGCGCTGCACAGACGGGTGACCAAGGCGGTGGTGCCAAAGGACAGTCTCATGCGCCAGAGAGCGACACGAGCAGGGGGCGGACAGCTGACCTGACGCAGACGCAGACGCGGACGCAGCTACCTGAGGGGAGTCAGTGGTCAGTGTGTAAAGGTCCGACCCCGGCTCCCGAGTGAAGGTAGCCAGGTGGCGACCCGTCCGAGCACACGTGCAGTGTGTCACGCGCTCGTAGGCAGGGGTGAACTGGTGAACACCCCCGTCCTGGAGCGCACTACCTGCCACCAAGTTCGTAGAGAACGAGGGGAGGTAGAGACCTGACAGCGTGCCGGACGGGACCGCCGGACAAGGAAGGACAGTGGAGGAGGTCGCAATGACCGGACCCCCAGAGGGGTCAGCAAGGGAGACAGCAACTGGCCGAGCGAGTGGCTCAAGGACAGTGCGGTCACGAAAGAAAGAGCGAGAAGCACCTGAGTCCAGGGTGAAGGTGTGCAGTGCTGCAGTCGACTCAGTACCAGGGGGCACGGACGCACGAGCACCTAGGGCTGCAGCCTCACCAGGACCTGTGGGAGGAGACGCACTAGCACCTAGAGCGGCAGCCGGACTGGCCTGAATGCCCGGGTCGGGCGGAACACGCAAGTACTGAGTACCCTCTCCACTAATAGACATCGCATACATGGCAGTGAGAATAGCATCAAAGTCTAAAGCCCAAATATCAACACCCCTCTTTTCCAGATCAGCCCAGCGCGGCAGCTCAGTGGCAGCAGGAAACTGAGTGCGCCACGCGTCGTTAAGGCGCGCGAAGCAGCGGTGCGTGGGGTGCGGCCTCCCACACTGCTGGCCGCTGCGGTCACCTGTGCGAATGACGTACGTGCAGGTAAAGCTACGCTGCGCATACCACTCACGGGCGGCCTGAAGCGTCGGGGCGGGCTGCTGACTCTGCCCTCCGCCAGTGCCTCCACGACCACCACCCCCACCGCCGCCGCCCCGGCCACCTCCACCCCTGCCGCCGCCACGACCACCTCCGCCTCCGCTGCCGCCTCCACCACCACTCCCACCGCTGCTGTCTCCTCCCCCACTGCCGCCACTAGTCTCCCCAGCCGCGCCTCCACTCCCACCGCCTCCACCCCCACCTCCTCCGCCGCCACCCCCACCCCTGCCCCCCTTGTTCCTGCGGCGCCCACTCGAAGCAGACGCGGTCCCGACCTTCTCAGCACCAAGAAGGTCGACAGCAGCAGCAGAGGCGACAGAGGGGAGGAGGGGGGAAGGGGAACACCCCTCAAAGAACGGGGTGCGGGGGTCGCCACGAGAGGTGCCTACAGCGACGATGCTCGCCTCAGCTGCAAGCAGTTCCTTCTCGAGGAGGGCAACAGTGAGCTCAGTGGGGGAGCGAGAGAGGAAGTGGTCCCTGACTGCGCGCAGAGAGTCAGGAAGGCGGGTGACGATGTGGTAGAGAGTGATCCAGAGCGGGGGGGGTTGCTAGTGAGAAACTCGGCAGGCATAGCAGCGCGAAAGCGGGCCTCACTAGTCTTAAGGTGGGTGATGAGGTCTGCGACAGTGTGAAAGGAGGCTAGGTCGGGGAACAGGTAGGGGAGAGTGAGGCGGCCTAGCGTGGCAGAAGCTGGCGAGGAGTAGCGGGCAACTACAGCGGTGTAGAGGTCCTTAGCAGTCTTGCACTGGCCGAAGTGCTCGCGCTCGTCTAGCGGCAGGGAGTTGCGAATAGCAAAGCGAGCGTGCGCATCACGGGTCTGCCACTGGGAACGCAGAGTGCTGTCAGCAGTCGAGTCAGGGGCAGTGGCGTGGTCGTACAGTGAGATATCTTCCTTGGCAGTGAGCTATAGGAACAGGTGCAGGTCATCTAGCCAGGTTTCGAACTTCACTGGACGGCCCTCGGCATCGAAAGCTAGAACTGGCGGACTAGCCATAGTGACAGTAGCAGTAGTAACAGTAGTAGTAGGAATCAGGCCGCTGGAAAGGTGTGCGGAGGGTCAACGGGGCCGGCGGGGCCGCTAGGCAAGGCGCGGGCGGGGTCGACTGTCCGTAGTGGCACACGAGCGGCAGTAGTAGGTAGCGTGGCAGCAGGAGCTGCAACGGTGCACTGGTGGCAGCTGCAGTGGCAGCAGTGCGCGCGGTAGGTAGAAGGTAAACAACAGTGAGAGCGAGTGCCTCGCGGGCGGCGGCTGCAGAAGCGCACAGGCGGCAGCGGCGCACTGGGAACGGCGGTGCACGGGCAGCGGGAGCGCACGGGCAGCGGCAGCGTAGGAGCAGCGACGGCGCACGGGCAGCGGCGGCGCTCGGGAGGCAGCAGTGCGCAAGCAGCAGCGGAAGCAGCGGCGTACGAGCGGCTGCGGGCAGCGGGGCGTGCGCTAGCAGGCGACGGGCGGCTGCGGGGCGTGCACGAGCAGGCGACGGGCGGCTGCGGGGCGTGCGCGAGCAGGCGACGGGCGGCTGCGGGCGGGCGGCCGCTGCGACGGCGGGCTGCGGGCCTGCGGGGCGTGCACGAGCAGGCGACGGGCGGCTGCGGGGCGTGCGCGAGCAGGCTACGAGCGGCTGCGGGGCGTGCGCTAGCAGGCGACGGGCGGCTGCGGGGCGTGCGCGAGCAGGCGACGGGCGGCTGCGGGGCGCGCGCGAGCAGGCGACGGGCGGCTGCGGGGCGCGCGCGAGCAGGCGACGGGCCGCGCGCGAGGGAAATAAGGCGCGCGCGGGAAAAAAAAGGGCCGCGCGCGAGCGGCTAAGGGGCGGCGCGACGGGGCCTTAAGGGGCGGGTCGCGGGTCGCGGGAGGTAGGGGCCGTAAAAAAAAAGTTCGAGGCGCCCTAGGTAGGTAGGTAACGGTGGGCCCTTAAAAAAAAAACGGTCCTAGCGAAGGACCTGCTCTGAAACCATGTCAGAATGAACGGACAGGAATGACTGTACTAGCACAAAGTTGGATACAAGTAGTAAACCCTAATCTAGTGTACCCCCTAAGGTGTAACCCACTACAGCCTACAATCATATAAACATATAATGTTTGACAGTGGATTGACGAGTCGTGGCGTGAGGTTCCAGAGGAGCTGATCAGGAAGTCCTTTGTCACATGCGGGATTTCCACCAAGCTCGATGAGAGCGAAGACCACCTCGTCCTCGCACACCTGCGGGACAAGGGGGAGGTGGAAGTCCTGGAGGATGTGAACGACGTGGAGGAAGACGAGGTCATCCCCAACCCCTTTTTCGAAGAGGTCCGCGTGCCGGAGGAGGTGCTGCAGGCGGACGACGACGCCATGCATGTGGAGCATGACGAGGAGGATGCGGAGGCGGAAGACTGCGATGGGGAAGGGTACGGGGCTGGAGAAGATGGGGATGCAGATGAATGGAGCGAGGCCGGCTCTGACTGGTGGCTCCCCGACCGCTTTGACGGAGAGGAGGTTGAGGAATGGCATGCTGGGGACGAGGAGTAGGAAGGTGGGCTTTATCTGTGTAGGTAGTTAGCATTCTAGATGGTAGTAGGCCCCTGTTGATTGTTGGAAAGACTGAGTGATGGGAGTGTTAGTGCTGTATTTCGTGATATGTAGCTTGTTTCTGCTAATGTTAACTTGTAGATGGAGTATCATTGGAAACCCTGTGCTCATTTGGCTAAAAATGCACTTTTACCCGTATATAACCCCCCCCCCCCCCCCCCCCCCCCCGCGGGTGCTATACAAGATGCCCCCAAAAGGGGGGGTATAGTAGAAACGAGGCCCGCTATAGCACCCCCCCCGCACAAGCCACCCGGGGGGTGCTCTATTTCGGGGGGTGGTATGTCCGGGGGAATACGGTATAAGCAGTTATAAAATACGTGAGACATATTTCGACACTCTCCACTCTTGCCCTACACATGACAGCCGGCATTTTAGCTGGGTAGGATGTGTTTTTTAGCTACCACCATTGGGTGGAGAAAGAAGTGTGGGATGATGAGCACTGATCCGGTTGATGGACAAACCAGCATAGGGTCTCTAAATATAGCAAATATGAAGGATCTGCTCAGAACAAGCTCTGCTAACAAAAAGGTACAGCGGTCACAATTCTAAAGCAAATGTTGGAAATGGATAAATCAACTAGGGAACCACAAGTCATAGTTGGTGGCACTACTAGCTAGATGATAGGTCTGGCATGGCATCCAATAAGGTACGGTAGAACGGTACTAATGCAGCTCAGCTCATCTTCAGTAGTCGATGTCAAGAACATCAGGTGCGGCCATCTCAACAAGCGTGTGTATTAGGTCCAGAGGCAGCTCAGACATATGTAAGCCCAGGCGGTCTTGGGTCCAAGGATTTTCCTGAAAGAGCTAACAAGTTCTTTGTGAATAACTGTAGCACCAATGTACGAGCAGTAATAAAGGAAGAACAAAACACCATCTTACCGGATATTCCGATTTAACATGGCACCACTGGTAGGAGAGTAGCAAGGCCTTCACGCTTTCCCTGAAAGCTTCCGGAAAGCGATTGTGGGATTCGGGGCTCCATCTGATAGATCCTGGCCTCACAATCACCATTTCACTCTCTTCAGCGTCTTCAGGGAGTGCGACCTGCAACGTATACACCACCAAAAAGGATCAGTAACGATGTACACGCGTGAAAAAGTCTCTACCATGCGCCTGTATTGAGCATCTGCGTACCAGCTTCTTCCCAACTACGAGAGGCTCATTTGAAGCGCATTCACGGAAGGCCCACGGGTGCAACACGAAAGTACGCTGTCGGTACGTCTGTCCTGGCTTTATCTTTTCGTACGCCACCTACACAATCAGAGTTAACAATATAGAGTGGTTAGCACGGAGGAGGTTATCCCCAATGCAGAACAGGCTGGCAGCTGGACCAATCTTACCTCCTTGCCGTCGTAATCAATCCAGAAAGCCTGGATTGTAACAGTTGTCGCATTTTTGAAGGTAACAGTTGTTGCTCTTGTAGATGGACCAGACTTAATTGAATGAACCACTTCCGAACCAGAAGTAGACGGAGGGATTAAAGTGGTTTCTCCCTCTGCTCCCGACGGCCCTGCCTGAACATGATCAGAGGATGAATGAGGACCGGATCCCCGATTTCCTCCGAACCCTGAAAGCATGGCTCGTAAAGCGAACTTCCAGCAATTGAGGATGCCACTGTTCTCGTTTGTCATGACGGAAATAACCGCAGACTTTCGAGTCAATGGCCTGTGATGGACCCGCCCGTCAGTTGCTGAAAGAGGGTCTCACCACCTCAGGGTGATACACCGTCCTCGACGCTCGCGCTGCTGAAACTGGAAGAATAAATGGTGACGACTGTCTGCCTGGAACTCTGTTTTGAGGCCGATCGAAGAGACCGCACACTGCTGGTCGTCGAAACTACTGTCATCCCTCGGGGATGTCCCAAGGGTGGTCCAACCGAGGTGGATCCCAAGGCCCAGCTATCAATCTCAATTGACCAGTGAGGTCTTTCTGATGTTGCCATGAAGCGGCGCGAGGACGTCCCTTTCGAGAATGACACCTCGACAACCTCGACTGGACAATTAGGAAAAGAGCCAGGAGGAATGCGCAATTTCAAGGCATGAGATTGTTGCTGCACATCAAGATAGGCAGAACACTTTACCCTTACAAAATTAGTCTAGAAAATACTTCAATAATCACACAACAAAAAGGGCTTCATACGGGGTACTTCCCCTCCAATTTGATTCAATTGACAACGTGGACAACTTCATCTCATAAATAGCATCACCTTCAAAAACCTACGTACAGTTAGATCGCACATCACAAGTAATCATATTTCTATCCGAAGAAGGATTGGATGATTGTGGTGTTCCATGGATCGCTCAGGTGCTGCAGAAGATTGGCGATGGGACCTGCATGGGTAAAGCCTGCCTGAACTGCAAAACCAACAGAAGCCACCATCGCCAAACGCCCTGCAAGTACAAAAACAGCAAATACAATGGTTTCAAAGTACATGCTATGCAAAGAAACGTCTCAGAAAAGGCACTGCTTGTACACGAATACTTGCACACGAGCCAAAACGATAGTTGCCCGGGGCAAAACGAGACATCAGCCAGAAACACAATCCAAATCAAGAAGCCATGAGACCTCACCATTTGCCAGCTCCTGCTCGCGTGCCTTGTGCCCTGTCACTGAATCAGCTGCCAGTCCAAAGGGGTTGAAGAGCGGACCTCCAGGATAGCTGGGGGAACAGAGAAAAGTCAGAGGCAGCAAGAAATGATTCGGGTTAAGAGTGCTGCCTTAAAACTCGCCACAAGTCCTTGATACATTGCTATACACATGCCAGGTTGTCTTGACGGGATTGCAGTACTGATGGGGAGGGAGGAACACATGCTCCCTGAAGGATGAAATTAGAAAATACTTCAGAAGATGCAAGGAGCCATCATGTTCCACGTAAATCGACCAACATTTTGTGACAAGCAAACCCATGCCAGTGCTTCTTACCCCACTCATGCCCCAAGCATGGCAAACCCTTCCACCGAGCTCTGCTCTAACCTCTGTTCCCGTTCAGCAAGTAAGCAGGCATTCAGCAACCCAAGGGTTCCCATCCGTGCGTCCATCCTCCCCCCTCCACGCACCCGTTGTCCGTGCCCAGGAAGGCGGGCTGAATGCCCAGGAACCACGCCTCATCCTGCCCCTGCGACCCCGGCGCCTTGAAATCTGCCCACCGCTTCAGCTCCACAAAGCTGGTGATCGACAGACAGGAGAGGGAAGGGAGATGGGGGGAGAAAGCCGGGAGGAGACGGGGGAAGAAGGCCTGGAGGAGATGCGGTGGGTGATGTGGGGAGCAAGTGGAGCGGTGAAGCATGGACGCGAGGAAAAGGGACGAGTGATGGGGATGAGTACATCCCGAGCGGAAAGACAAACGGCTGGAACACACAAAACGGGAACCATGCGGAGTTGCGCGAAACTACGCACAACCATGCAGAACCACGCGGAACCATGGATTATCTACAAGGACCGGGCGGCGGCGTACTTGAAGAGGATGAACTGCACGGCGAAGAGAGTGGGCGCGTTGGCGATGTCGTAGTGCGCCGTGCCAGCCTCGTACCACACGGGGAGGTCCGCGAGACCCAGAGTCGTCAGCAGCTGCGCACATGCATCCGCGGGGGACGTTGCGCGGGGGACGCGGGAGGGTCGGAGGAGTAAGAGTATCAAATACCGGAAGGAGTAAGAGGTGGAAAGGAACGCGGAGAGAAGCGCGGAGTGGAATGGGGCGTGGAGCGACGTACGCATCCATCCGTTCATCCATCTGTTCATCCGCGATGCGCGTTCTCTCATTGAAGACAAGCATTTCGGCCAAAATGTTCGGACCCTCCTCTCGCAAACGCTATCCCACCATTTCCCAACACCCATTCTCCTTTTTCCCCCTCCCCCCCATCCCTCCCACCCCTCCCTGTAAGCCCCCGCCTTTCTCCCTTCCCATCCGTCCCCTACCCTTGCTCCCCCTGCGCCCACCGTGCCCCCCTGCGCGCGCTCACATCAGTGCCGAGCACGCCGGCGACGCCCAGCATGGCCCAGCGGCAGTGCACCAGCTCCGCCTGCACGTACCACCGCAGAGCCTCCGCGTCCTCCGCCAGTCCCAGCGGGTCGAACCCGTTGTCGCCGGGAAGCCTGGAGGCGCGGGGACAGGGGAGTGGTCGTCGCATGGTTGGTGGTGGCTCGGCAGTGGTGAGCTTACGAGCACGTGGGTCGCGGGCACTTGTGAAGCCGCCACTTGTGAAACCGCCGGACTTGATTCTAACACCAGATTTTTCCTCTCTCTAACTCTCTCATTTAAGCACAAATGCGCAGGTGTTCTGGGCAAATGCGAGCCAGACAATTAGCGGGAAGCGGCGGCGACGTTTATTTCCCCCTACAGATTTCCGCGTTTCTGACCTACTAGGCCGGAATGAACAAGTAATACGAGCAGACAATAATAAGCGTAAGGAGCGGAATGTTACTGAACGTACGAGCCGTCGAGGTAAGCCGGAGCCGTGCTGCCAGGGAGCCAAATTGGCCTCTTGGCGGTGCTGCTGCTGCTGCTGCTGCTGATGATGCTCGTCTCAGTGGCAGCGGCGCATCGCACGCCGGTGAACGACCGCCTCGCGACCGCCACGGGCCGGCATTGCGTGCTGCGACTGGAGAGAGCAGTCCTGGTCAGACCCGCGGCCGGGAGAGCGGATGCTACAGCACAGCAACGAGCAGTGGCCATTTCGAATCAGCCGAAAAGGAGGCGGACGGCGGCAGGTGACAAGCGAGAGAGTGAGGTGTTGTTGGTGGAGCTCTCGCTGAATATGCCTGAGTGTGCAGGCAATGAGGGAGCTCCACCAGCTTAGGCTAAAACAGCAAGAGGACTAGTTAGTGGCAATGCCTCTAATGTCTTCTTCCCGACCCGTAACATCAGAAGTGATAGCTACTTCCGTAGCATAAATCGCGCAACTTTGGGCCAACATCATAGACATGCAAATTAGTGTGGTAACCCTATCCAATGGTATGCAAAACCGTCTTACCTCTGTTTGCAAGTTATTGACATGCTGCCCTGAAAGCACGTTCGTTTTTAATTCAAATTTGATCTTTACCGCGCTTGCCTTCGCGCTAAGACGTGATTTCTTCGGGCCAATAAAAAAAAAACCCGATCGGAAAGGGATGCGTCAGGGAGGCATCAACCCTAAAAACAATGTCCTTTCCCGTGTTTAGGGTTGATCCCTCCCAGAAATGCGTCCAGGTCCCTAGGGGTTTTATTGTTTTTCTGCCCTGCCCCTACATTTCCCGGTAGCAATATATTGGTCCAAATTAATGTTATCGAAATGGACCCCGTAGCCTTTCATTCCAGTGGATTTTTCGTCACATTTAGCGGAAAATAGTAGCCGGCAGGAATATTTGTTAGGCGCCGAACAAGACGCGGTAAGAACCACGACGATACGAAATCGAAAACGCAACTGATTCAATCCCATATTTTCTTCCTTTTCTGTGCTGCGTCAGCTGTTACACAGTGTTTTGAGTGGCGCTACCAGACAATTTTGCGCAGCAGAACTGGGGTATCGACGGTTTTGCATACCATCGAATAGGGTTACCAGACTAATTTGCATGTCTATGATGTTGGCCCCGCAACTTTCGTGCCTTCATCGGGAGAATCTAGTCTTGCTTCAACGTACACCAGATCCGAAATTCCTGGAGTGCGCTGGCGTGGCTTTCGAAGATTATAGGGATAGAAAATCGTCACAGTGCCACGTCAGACGTAACATTTTACTCGTTCAGTCAGTAACTGTAGTCCCGTGATATTAGTACGTACACAATAGTAGATCTGCTATCAGTACTAAACAATTTACAGAAAACCAATACCGTCTTTACAAAGAAGCATGTCCAAGAAGAAAAGAAATCCAAGCCTTAGCATCACCATCGCTCTCTCCGCTTCCGAGCTGACCTTTTTCCTGAAACCAACTGAGGGAGGCAAGTGGAAGAGCCTGCAAAGAGAAACGCAATACTGGCAGTCGGGCTGACCGGAGACGAGGCAAGCACACACTTCGCAGGCTCCTCACAAACCGGTGGAGATTCGCACTCCCACATCAGCTCCCCAACTCTCCTGGAACCAGGACATTCCACTCCATCCACCTTCAGCTTCTTTTGACAGTCCCCCTCTACCACATCACTCCTCTTCCAAGCATATAGCAGCCCTGGAGAGCCCTCAAAAGACTTGGCCTGCTCTGTACACCGCTCCATCCCCAGACCACCCACCTGCTTCCCCTCCTCTCCATCACTCTTTGAAACGGGCCTCGTCTTATCAATGCCCCTCTCTACATCATCCCGCCAATTACCACGCTCTCCTGCCCTCACATCCCAGGCCTCATCCTTCCTCTCATGCCCATGCCCAAGCACAGGCTCATGCTCAGGCACTGGCACAGACCCACTCTCGCCACGCCCATGCACCATGTGCCTCTGCTCAATCCCACTGCCGTGTCTGCTGCTGTGCCTGTCCGCAGGCTCATGCAGATGATGCTCCCTGCGCCCATGCAGATCCCTCTCTCCCGAACTGAACCCATTTCTTATCCTGCTCCTCTCCCTCTCCCTCTCCCTCTCCCTTTCTCTCTCCCTCTCCCTTTCTCTCTCCCTCTCCTTTTCCTTCTCCCTCTCCTTTTCCTTCTCCCTCTCCCTTTCCCTCTCCCTCTCCCTCTCCCCGAGACGATCTTTCAACACCTGCTCGTGCGGCAACCCATGCCTGTCCCCAGCAGCTGACCGTGCGTGCTCCTCTGCACCAGCAGCTACGGTGATATCCATGAATGGGGACCGGGAAGGTGGGGGGGATGAAAACAGCAGAGAGCGGGACGGGGACTGGCACCCTGAGGACGCCTGCAGATGCTGCTTCGACCACTGCTGCTGCTGCTGCTGCTGGTGCTGCTGCTGCTGTTGCTGCTGCTGTTGCTGTTGCTGCTGCTGTTGCTGTTGCTGTTGCTGCTGCTGTTGCTGTTGCTGTTCGTGGCATGATGGGGGGGAGTGCAGTGGCGAGCGCAGGGGGGTATGCAAGCGGCGGAGGGGAGATCGATGCGACGAATGCGAATAATGCCGGCGATTCGGCGGGAGGTGGTGCTGTAGAGGCTGCTGATGTGGCTGCTGCAGCGGATGCTGATGCTGATGCTGATGCTGAAGCCCCTGCGGCAGATGCACACGCTGCTGCATGTGCTGCTGGTGGTGGCCATGGCGGGGAGATGCACGCCCACCACCTGCACGCCCCCCACCAGCACGCCCAGGCGGTGCAAACCCCCGCCGACCCGCGGGAAACGCAGGGCCAAACGGTGAAAAGTGGGGCAGGTGCAAAGGGTAGTAGGGCAACAGAGGCGAGAAGGACGCATGGCATGGAGAGTGCAGTGAGAGGGGGTAGGCCAGGAGCGGATGAGCATGAGGAGTAAGATGGGCGTTTGGATGGGGATGGCGGGAGAACGGCCCAGGTTCAGGGAACGATGCCAGCCCGGCCCTTCCGACGGGTGAGGAGAAGTGCGCGGGGGAGATGTGTGAGGGGGGTGAAAATCCCCCTCGAGGCGGGGTAACAAACGGTAGGTGAGGAGGGGAGAAGAGAGTGGGACGGCGTGTAGATGGCACGGATGGCTGCTTGGGGGGGAGACCGCGAGGGCCCGTTGGAGAGAGCGGGTGCGGCGGAGGTGGGGAATGCGTGGAGGGGCGAGATGGGGCGAGGGGGGAAGACGAGAACGGGGAAGGTTGGTGCGTGGTGGCAGAGACGTGCTGAGAGCGCTGGCGATGGTACTGCTGGTGCTGATGCTGCTGCTGATGCTGTTCGCGTGAAGGCGAAGGGGGGGAGCGAGGACGGGGTGCCTCGACATGAGGTGGAGAACTGGGTTTGGAGGTGGTGTGCAGATGGGGTGGAGAAGAGAGGGATGATAGGCCTATCGAAGCTATGCCGCTTGCACTTCGTTCAACACCGACTAATGCACCTAAGTCCCTCCATCTCTCCTCCCCCCACTCCCTCCTCTTCTCCCTCTCGCTCTCCCTCTCCCTCACTCCCTTCCTCTCTTCCCTCTCCTCCCTTCCCCTCCCCTCTCCGCAATCCCTCTCTCGTGACATTTCCCTTCCCTCCATAGCCTCCTTCTCCTTTCCGCTTCCCATCACCTCTCCAGTGCCCAACTCATTTCCACTCCCCATCTCCTTTCCCCGTCCCCATTCCCCTTTTGTCTCCTCGTCACTCCTATGGCTATTCTTCATCGCCCCAGCGAAATGTCCTTCACTCCTGCCATCAGCGCCGCTACCACAACCACCATCCGCGTTCCCTCGCTCTCCTTGCTTCAACTCTCCATCCGCGTCATCATCTTCAACTCTCCTTGCCTCGTCACTCCTTCCTTCAAGGCTATCCTCCCCGCGGCTCCTACCTTCGTCGCTCCTGCTTTCGTGGGTTCTGCCCTCATGGTTCCTCGTCTCATCCTTCCTCACCAAGTGGGTGTAGCCATCAGGCCTCTCGCTCCGCATCTCCTCTTCCTTTACGCATTCTCTCGCGCCACTGACATCCTTCGCAGCAGCTGCGCACTCGCTACTGCCAACCACAGCCTCCCACGAGCACGCTCCTCGCCTTGCATCCACGGCAGCAGCATCAGCAGCAGCAGCAGCAGCAGAAGGAGCAGCAGCGGCAGCCGTTGACTCAGAGCCTGCAGCGGCGGCAACACGGCAACCTGCGTCACCAAAATGAGCATCAGCGACAACCATTGCAGTAGCAGCAGCAGCAGCAGCAGCAGCAGCAGCAGCAGCACCAACATCCAAATCCACGGTCCCTCCTACAGCAGCAAGCCTAGGCTCCCGGTCGGCCACGTCCCGACTCTTGACTTCCACACTCGTCCTCGCACACTCCCCTTCTGATTCCCCTTTCCTGCCCTCCTCCCTATCCCCCTCCACCTCCTCCTTTTCCTCCTCGGCCTTCTCCTTCTCATTGTCCTTCTCCTGCTCCTCTTTCTCCTTCTCCTCCTCCTTCTTCTCCATCTCCTGCTCCTTTTTCTCCCTCTCCATCTCCTGCTCCTCCTCCTCCGCCTCCTTCTCCTCCCCGCACGGCTGCACGCTACTCTCACCGCCCACGCCGCCAACGCCCTTGTCCTCCTTACAAGCTTCATCAATACTCCGCTCATCCTTGCAACACGCGTCCTTGTGAGCCTCTCTAACGCCAGCACTACCACCGGCAGCAGCAACTTTAGCACCACTACCAGCACGGCCGTCTGTCTCTCTCCCACGCCTGGGCACTGAACCGCTAGCAGGCCCCACACTCGGCCACTCCAAGCTAAGACTTATCTCCTTGACACCCTTGCTCTTCCCCGCTTTGCCCTTCCCGTCGCCCCCACTCGCCTCCTTCGTCCGTTTCTTCCCATCCTTCCCCACCTCTCCTAATCCCCCCGTTCCTTTGCCATTGCCCGCGGATCGCACGGTGGGAGAAAGAGGGTGAGACGGAGAAGAGACCGCCGCTGCTGTCGCTGCAGCTGATGCCGCAGCTGGTGACGGTTTTGGCTCGGGCTTGAGGTGCGACTTGGAGGGGCTTAGGGGTTGCGGATGAGATGGGGGTGGGGCGTGTGTGCGGCGCAGGGAGTGCAGGAGCGGCGTGAGACGCAGCTCCAGCAGCAGCATGTTCATCACCTTGTCGCATTGACCTCGAATCACCTGCCATGCACACGCCATGCACATGCCACCACGCACATGCAATGACGGACATGCCATGACGCCACCGAGCAACCATGTCGAACGGACGGAAAACAAACGCATCACGTCGTGACACCACGCCATCAGACCATCATAACACCCACATGCCACAGGAAATCATGAGCGATAACGACCAGAAATCGTGTAAAAAAAAAAACAAAAACAAAAAAAACACATGCTGGCGTTACATTACCTCCCACATGGTAAGCAAACAATAACGGGTACCCAACAACCAACGCGGACAGGGATCATAAAGAGAGGGCAGAGAAGCAACAGTCACTTAGATACATTGCAAGAGATTCAAACTGTTGCTGCAACAGCTTCACACTTCCCAACAGACCATTCTCCCTTCCAGCCCTCCCATCTCAATCCCCTCACCACACACCAAACCACCCCCAACCCACTGTCACCCTTCACCCATCGCATCACACCAGCCTGTCCCCCTCCCCACGCTTCCCCGTTCCCTCTCCCACATTTCCCCCCACTCCCCGCGCAACCTCCCCCCCGCGCGCACGCACCAGCTCCGCGCGCGCGTCCATGGGCGTGGGCTGCAGGTTGATGATGACGAGCCTTCCGCCGTGGCGCGGCACGCTGGCGGGGAAGTTGCACGCGGGGCCCACGCGCAGACTCGACCCCATCACCAGCGCCACGTCCGCGCGGTCACTGTGGCGCTTCGCGGACTTCAGGGGCTGGCGGAACGCGGGGGGACGGAGAGGCGTAGGGGAGGTGGAGGGGAGTAGGACGGGGAGGGAAATAGGGGAGGAGGGGGGGAGTAGGGCGGGGAGGGAAATACGGGAGGAGGGGGGGAGTAGGGCGGGGAGGGAAATAGGGGAGGAGGGGGGGGGAGAAGAGGGAGGAAAAGGGGGGGGTATGAGGGAAGGGAGAGAAGCAGGGGAAGGGAGGTGGAGAGGGGAGAAGGGTGGAACGGGAAGATGTGAAGATGTGAAGATGAGGAGAATGGGGAAAAGAAAAGCGAGTCAGAATGCAGCGAGAAACCAAAACCAGACAAATGCACGCAGCCATGCCAAACGGCGGACGATTCGACAAGCAAGCTTCATAATACGCGGAAACAGATTCGACAGCAGGAAAATGGAGGGAGGGAGGGAGCGCGGGGGTTGGGAAGGTGAAACAGAGGCGCGAGCGCAAAGCGGGTTGCGTGGGGAGGGGAACAGGAAATGAGAGAGCAAGGCGAGAAAGCGAGAGCGAGGGTTGGAAAGGCGAGTGGAGGGAGTAGTACAGTACCTCGTTGGGAAGGCACTCTCCGAACAGCACGACGCAGTCCTCAAGCTCCCCTCCACACCCTTCCACTTCACACATCCTCCCCGTCCGATGATCGAACTGCAACTCCTCCTCCTCCTCATCCTCCTCCTCCTCCTCCTCCTCCTCTTCCTCCTCTTCTTCCGCATCCTCGTCCTCTTCTTCCTCTGACACTTGTTCCTCCTCCTCCTCTTCTTCCTCCTCGTCCTCGCTACTCTCCGACTCGCTATCGACAAATCTCCTCGCTCTCGCGCTTCGCGCTCTCTTCGCCTTCCGCTTCGCCGCGTCTTCACTCCTTTTCCGCTTCTTCAGCACAGCACTACCACCTCCTCCACCCTTTCCCCCCTTTGACTTTTCCTTCCGCGCAGTTCCCTCTCCCTTCCCCCTCTTCTCTCCCCCTTTCTCCCCCTCTCTCCTCCCCCCGTCTGCCACCACTCCCGTTGCGCGCTCCAGCAGGATCTTCGCCGCGCGATTCGCGTCCTCCTGCGTCGACCCGCGCGCCGACGTGAGCCCCTTCCACACCGAATAACCGCGGAAAAACTCCGCGCCGCAGCGCGCGCACACCTCGCGACAAAAGTTGCCGTGCAGCTCGCTGATCTCGTGCGACCGCAGCCCTGATCGCCGGTGCAGCCCGTCGATGTTCTGCGACACCACGTGTCGCACAACGCCCGCCTGCACCATCGCCGTAATCGCAAAGTGGCTCAGCGTCGGAGACACCTGCCGCGGAGCGGATAACACCAAGTGCAAGGGGGTGTTGCGGGATTGGGAGGGGCGGGGAGAGAGGGGGGATGTGGGGCCGGAGGAGGATTGGAGGGAGAGATAGGCACAGAGGGAAGAGGGGGAGGCGAGAGAGGGGGGATGGAGGCGGGAGGGGAAAGGAGGATGGGGAGATGAGGGTTGGGCGGATGAGAGATATCCTTTTGCATAGAAGATTTTCCGTCGATGTAAGCATGAGAGATCTCCCGTCGATGTACGCATAAAAGATCTCCCGTGAATCTCCCGTGCCTCCCATTTTCTCTCACCCCCTCCGGTCCCCCGTTCAGCCCGTGGATGTTCTACGACGGTATCTCGCGCGACACGCATGCCTCGACGGTGAATCTTCGCAGTGACCGGCTTTAACGTCAGAGACATCCGCCGACGACCGGAACGCGCGCACGGAAAATGATTACAAGGGGACGTGGGAAAATGGCGACAACCAGGAAATTATGCTGGCGAGTGAGCCGTTATTTAGGGCCAGTCGGGGACGTGAACTTGGAGTAGGGAAGAACATATGCATGGAGAAGGCTGGCGGATACAAGGTGAGAAAGACGTAGGAAGGAGAACGGAAGGGCGGAAAACGAGGGCTTGGGAAATGGCAGGGCGAATGCAAGGAATGGAGTGACGGAGCGCGCGAGTAAAATCCGTGTACGTGTGCGCTCGGAGGGTCAGAGCTAGGGAGGCAGATTGGTTGACGGCCACGGCGACGGTGACGGCGACCGCGCCGCTGACGGTGAAGGAGACGGGGACGGGGATGGCGACGGCTTACCTGCAGAAAGTTCGGCTCTTTGACTTGAATGCCCTTAGAGCGCAGCGTCCACACGCCGTTCGGTCCGCGATAGTCCGGAATGCCCGCCGATGTGGAAATACCTGCGCCGGTGTACACCTGAACGGGGAGAAGACGGTTCATGCGCGAAAAAAATACAGGGGAGACGGACGTGAGGCGGGAAAATAAACGGAGGACGCGCGGAAGGGGCGCTTCAGTGGCGGGCGGAAGAATGGGAGGATACGGGAAAGGAATCGAAGCACGTGACGATGCCGTGTCGTAACGAAAATGAGAAACTGTTGTGCATTAAATTAATTCAGAAGGAAGAGAAAAAGCAGCCGCGCGATTTACCCAGCCCGCTTTCGCCACGAAAAAGAAAAAAAACAAACAATAACAACAAACAAACGCGGCACTCCCCTAATTCTGCTATACCCCAAAGTTGTTCGTCCCTCGAACACACAAGCACGCATCAAACCCATCCGCTATGTCGCCCAATCCACCCACCCTTCGCACGCGTTTACAAGTCCGCTACCCAACCAGCACGGCCATCCTCCACAGCCTGGTCCTTCCCTCCGTCCCTCACCCCAACGACAACAACACTGACCCACCATGGCGTATCTACTAGTCTTGAGCAGCCGCGCGAGCTCCTTCACTTTTGTTGCAAGCACATCCGGCGGATCAAAAAGTTCTCTCTCGCCCGTGCTGTCTTCGCTACCTCCCCCGCAAACCGACCCTCCAAGACCCGTCCGGCCCCTCCCACCACCACCGGCGCCACCGACAGAGCTTTTCCCTCTGCTACCGCCTTGACTCCCTGCGCTCTTCTTTCCCAGCGCTGTGACGTTACCACGAGGACTCCCACGGTTCATTACGGCACTGCTTCCGCTACTCGTGCTCCCGCCACCCCCACCACCGCCGCCAACACCGCGGGTCTTTCTCCCGACCTTTCTACACCTGCCAAAAGCCTCTTGGCTGCTGTCGCTGCTGGTAGAGTTGGTACTGTTGGTGGTGGTACTCGTGCTGGTACTAGCAGACGCACGCGAATACTGCGATTGACGGTTTCCAGCAGGTTTTCTACAGGAGTTTCCGCCGAAGGCTGCTATCGACGGCTTCTGTCTAGGGGTTGCCGATGAGCGCTGCGTGGCTGGGCTCGAGAGCTGTCTGCCATTCGCCATCGGTCAGGTTGACAGCTGTGCGGGATGGAAATGGAGGAACGGAGCAGCGAACGGGAGGAAAAATAGTTGAGATGAAAGTCTAAGAATTGAGCTTCAAGACAAAGGCGGCTCGTGGCTGATCCTGAGATATCTCACCTAACCATAGGTACGGAACACAAAAACAAAATTCGACGCGATAGGGACAACGAATACTAGAATCGCGCGTACCTGCCAGAAAAAAAAAATATCTCTCAACACTGATCATACACTGTTATCGACAGAAATTGTTCAGCCACATAAGCTGGTTGAAAGGTGAAGCTTCTAGACACTTTTTCGTAATAAAGTCCCAACGCAGAAATGTGGACTAGGCTGATCGCAAGCAAGCAACGGAGGGAAAACTTGAAGAACTGGGATGTTATGGAACCCCAACAACTTCTGGGGTTTCAGTTTAGGGCGCGTCACCTCTCAACCAGTCGGCCAAAATTCGAACGCTGTCATGATTTTCAGTGCCCGAACAGCACAATTCCGATGTTCAAACAAGATTTGGGAATTTGGTGAAAGTTGACGGTGTGTCACATGAAGTGACAGGTGTGTTCGAAAATGCGACGTCGCACAATCGTCGCCAGAACGATTTGATTGCATAACGATCATCAAAAGGCAGTCGTAAGATACCTGGAAACTTCTTCGTGCTGTTCGTGGGCGTCGCATGTGCTCATCCCGAATTACATTCGAACGGACTCATTCGAACAACAAGCGCGAAATCCCTCGTGCTGGATGTGACAGCTCTATTCGATTTAGCGACGTTTTTATTTGCGAACTGACGAAGGCTCAACGAATATCTTGCGGAAATTGTCGAAATTTATAACACTTCGCATGTTCGAACAAAGGGGTTTGTTCGAGTTTAGAGGTGACGCGCCCTTAGTGGTGGTCCTGACGGACACTAGCAGGAAAAGGGGAGAGAGGGAGAGGAGAGAGAGATGAAGGCAGGATGAGGGGGGGAAATTGTTTGCCAGGGAGCAGAATGAAGGGGGAAGCGGAAGGGAGAGGGTTGTGTTGCAGAACGAGAATGACGACAGCTTTCGTGGCGGGACGGCGGGGCGTGGGTGTGCGGAGCGGAAACGGGTCTCTCTCTGGTTTGTTGAGCTGTACGCCCCCTGCGGGTGCGGAAAAAGGGATGGGTCTCGTTTGTCTGGGCACAACGTGTGGAAACGGATTGTTGTACTGCCCCTCGAATACAGTACATACGTGTGAACAATAATTTGCGTTACGTGTACAATGTTTTTGCTGACCCCTGTGTTCCAGCACTGACAAGAGGATGCCAGCAAGAATAAACTTGCAATTCCGTGCCCGGGAATATTTAGGTTTACACGTCACACAACCAAAGGCTTGCGCTTTTTGTTCCACCCCGCACCAAGTCTCCTGGAGCCCCGCTAATGTGGTGGGCGGGTTCCCCAGATATTGTCAGTGCATTTACGCCGACGCGGACGATGGTTTGGCGGGTAAAAGTGGGCGGAAGGCGTGGGCGCAGATTTGGTTGCGTGTGGCGGGAGAATTCGTGTGTTTCCTGGGTTGGCTGAAAATGAGAGCCCCTAGGGACCTGGTCTCAGTCGCCGACTGCGCACACATAGGTCGGGATTCGGGGGACTGTGGGAGGCGTCAGGCGGGCGCAGTGTTCAACACAACCCGGGGGGAGACCAAGGAACAGATGGGCGGCCGGGAGCTGGTTGGGGAGATCTTGGGGAGATCGAGGTCGGGGGGCAAGGCTAAGTCGGGTCGGATGCTGTGGTGTTGACGTGTCCGTCGTGTGCTGTGGTGTTGGCAGGCGGAGGCTGACGCGGAAACATCCACAAGCAATTCGGTATTAGACAAGAGATACTTCACGTCCAACAGCACAAGAAATGTAGAGTGACAAAAAAAATGTAGAGTGACAAAATGTAGAGATACTTCACGTCCAACAGTCACGTCCGAGAGTGACAGTTACGACTGCAGATGTTTCTAAGTTCTGGTAACATATTCGAGTCCAAAAAAATAAAGAAATGTAGAGTGGTAAATGTGAAACATGAAGATTGAAGGTATGGCATTGGAAAAGCATAAGAATATGCATTCCATTTGTATCTTCTACCTTTACCACATGCATCAGCTTGTGTTATAGCCTCTTAAAAACAAAATTAACGCGCGTAGGGAAAATACAGGAGGAGGTTCAGAAGTGGTGTATGTAAATACGATAAGGGAATCCGCAATTAAATGCTACTTCACTGACTGTATAGACAGAGTGGGTGCGGAGTGCTATGTCGAGTATCATTGTTCTGGTCTGGTGATGACGATCTGTCCTGCCTAGGAAATGCTCGCGTCTTTAGTAGCATCGCGTAAGTCGCTCTGTGCCAGCTAACTAGGACGCGATAGCCGTGCAGGTACTCTGTAGGACGACCAGATGCGGGCAAATTTGCACATGCATGTCCTCAGCACCTGGAACGTCTCACCTTCAAGCATTCTCGTTCCCAATCCCGCGCCGTTGCCGTCACAGCAACAGCCGCCATTGGTCGGATATTCTTCCCTAGAGACGGCATTCCGCTCTCGTTCTCCTCCAAGCCCTCGTTTTTTCGGGCTCTCCAGGCAACAGAGGCGTTCCGCCGTTAGACGCGGCGGGAATCGCGGAGAGGCGCGTGCTCGCGCCGCAATGCAACAGCAGCAGCAGTCAGTGGACGGAGAGATGAAGGGCGAGCAGGAAGCAGTGGGATCGGGAAGAGACGGTTTAGAGGAAGGGGGTGAATTTCCTACGGAACTTGCGCGGAGGCTTCGCGACTTGCATCAGGAGCATATCGAGGAGCAATGGCGGGAACTGAAGAGCGCGGAGGAGCGTGCGCAGTTGGTGGAGGCTGTCGAGGTGAGGGGAGTTGGTTGACGTTGACGGACATGAGCTGGCGTTGTCGGACATGGAATGACGTTGACGGATATGGATTGCCATTGTCTGACAGTACGGAATCACATGGAGTGGTGCGGATTCGCATGGTTCCGGATGGTCGGCATACACTAGAGTGGACTGCTCGCACAACTAACTATGGGTGTCACACATGACTCTAGCTCGTTAGGAGCACTAGCGGCCTCGTGTGGGACTTTCGCTTGACCCTCCACGAAATTATCACTTACGGATCCTTCTCCCTCTTTCCCTCTCACCCACCCCCGCAACCCCATCTCTCCCTTTCCCCCGCCACACCTCTCGTCTCCTTTCTTTCCCCTTCCGTCGCCGGCCTTGTGACACCTTCAACCCCTCCTTGTGTGTCAATCCGACCCCCCCCATCCATCCCCGCATCCTGTCTTTGAGGTGCATGTGCGCGTGTGCTTTGCGTGTGCGCGTGTGCTTTGCGTGTGCTGTGCGCGTGTGCTTTGCGTGTGCTGTGCGTGTGTGCTTTGCGTGTGCTGTGCGCGTGTGCTGTGCGCGTGTGCTTTGCGTGTGCTGTGCGCGTGTGCGTGTGTGTGTGCATGTGGTGTGCATGTGTGTGTGCGTGTGCGCGTGCGTCTGCGTGTGGTGTGCGCGTGCGTGTGCGCGTGTACATGTGCGTGTCTGCGTGTACGTGTGTGTGCGTGGCAGGCAGTGGATGTGGAGCGAGCAGTGCGCGTGTTCCAGGCATCCACCCACTCCTCACACAACGGTGGGCTGGGCGAGAGGAAGAGGGGGATCAGAGACCCCATGGGTGAGAGGGTGTGCCTGGGGTGCATGCGAGGGGCGTGCAAGAGGCATGAGGCATCGAAGGCTCGTACTGGAATAGATGAGATGCAAAAACCAAGGTCAGAGAATCGTCAGATGATTTGGAGCAGAATCTGTCTTCTTAATACAGCCTCACTCTTCTCGTCTTCCTTCCCCCCGTATCCCATCCCTTCCTCAACCCATTCCACCCCCTCGCAATCTCTCCCCGACTCACTCCACTTCCCTTCACCTCACTCCACCTCTCTCTCTCTCTGCGCGTTCTGCTGCCCATCAGCGCCCTCGGCGCCCCTGCAGGTGCAGCCAGTGCGGAACGTGTGTGCGGTGGAGGGGCGATCAGCTGCCAGCGCGCAGCAGTGGAGGGAGCAGGGCCTGGCTGCCATCGCCCATGGCCGACTTGCTGTGCTGCTGCTGGCCGGCGGACAGGTGGGGATGGGGAAGGTGGGCGGATTGGGGTGGATTTGGCAGGATTGGGGAGGATTGGGGAGGATTTGGGAGAATTGGGGAGGATTTGGGGGGGGGGGGGTGTTTGGGGAGGGATGTGAGTGGAAGAGCGGAGAAGGAGGGAAAGGCGCATGTGAGCAGTGGAGGGAGCAGGGCCTGGCTGCCATCGCCCACGGCCGACTCGCCGTGCTGCTGCTGGCCGGCGGACAGGTGGGCACGCAGAAGATTGGGGGGAGATGGGGATGGGGAGGTAGGGAAAGGCTGGAGAAGGGGAAGGTGGCTGGATTGAAGAGGGTTGGGGTATAGGTGAGGGTTGGTGAGGGTTGGGGAGGGTTGGGGAGGATTGCCAAGAAGTGAGTGTACGGTGGTGGAGAGGGAGAGAGAATTGAAGTGGCATGCTCCTTGTGATATGTTTCCTCTACGCCTCATGCCGTTTCATTCACCGTCACCTGCCATTGTCTGCTGAACAGTCACCTGCCATGTGCCTGCCATGTGCCTGCCATGTGCCTTGCCATGTGCCTTGCCATGCCTTGCCATGCCTTGCCATGTGCCTGCCATGCCATGCCTTGCCATGCCATGCCATGCCATGCCTTGCCATGCCATGCCATGCCATGCCATGCCATGCCATGCTCTCCTCCTTACAGGGAACAAGGCTAGGCAGCTCAGCACCAAAGGGCTGCTATGGTGAGTCCTATCTTTGACGCGCCTCAAAAGTTGCTATGATGACCCGAGCCCACGCCTTTCCCTTCTCTCCCTTCTCTCACACCCAATTCCACCCCTCTCTTCCTCACTTGCTCTCCTCCTCTTCCCTCTCTGCCCTTTGTCTGCCCGCGGGTGGTCCCTTCTCTACCCCTCTGTGCTCTTCCTCCCCTCTCGTCCCCTCACCTTCCCACTCCTTCCTGCTCCCCCCTGCTCTCCCCTAACCCCCATTCTCCGCTACTTTTCCCCGCTCTCTTCACTCCCTGCCACTTCCCCCACCCCCCGTCTCCTCCCCTCCCGGGCGGCCAGACATTGGCCTGCCGTCGCACAAGTCTCTGTTCCAGCTCATGGCAGAGCGCCTGCTGCGCATGCAGACACTGGCCACGGAGGCTGCAGGTGGGGTTGCAGGTGAATGTGGGGTGGGGGTGTTGGTGGTGGTGATGGCTCTAGTGTCTCTCTTCCAGCTCATGGCGGAGCGCCTGATATGCATGCAGACGCTGGCCATGAAGGCTGCAGGTGCGCAGGTGGGGGTGGGGGTAGGAGTGTGGGTGGTGGGAGGGATGGGACAGGATGGGGATGGTAAAGCAGCGATGATGTCCCCATCCCTCCCGTCAGCGACTTTTTTCTCTTTGCGTCATTATCTCATCTCCCTTGATGATTTCTCTCTCTCTCTCTCTCTCACACACACACACACACACACACACACACACACACACACACACCCACACACCTGTCTTGTGCTCGCTCTCGCCATCTGACCCTTACAACCCTGCCCAGTCGCTGTCTGTCATGCTTGTTTTTTCAACATACACACTGCTTCTGTCTCACCCACCCACCCATCCACCCACCCTCCCACCCTCCCACTCACCCACCGATCCGTACCAACATGCCTCACTGCAGGTTCATCTGGCTCATCGTCGTCGTCCGCCCCCGCAGCCGTGCACATCCCCTGGCTCATCATGACGTCGCCTTTCACCCACCAGCCCACCCATACGATACCCACCCACCAACCAACCCACCCACCCACCCCCCATGTGCTCAACAATTCACCCATGTGTACCTGTAACCTGCATACCACACGGCAGGTCCATCCGACTCATCGTCCGCGCCAGCGGTCCACATCCCCTGGCTCATCATGACGTCGCCCTTCACCCACCAGCCCATCCTGGACTCCTTCTCCCACCACAATTACTTCGGCCTGCTGCCCCACCAGGTACCCTGCCATGCCCAGTTGTATTGTGAGTAGAGAGATTTCCTGCTTACCTCCGCGACCCACTTGCCGAGCACAATCAACCATCAGCTCTCCCCCCTTTTCTTCCCCATCACTCCCCCCTTTCTTCCCTTCCTTCTCCTCTGCATCCTTCTTCCCTCGTTCTCCCTTCCCTGCTTCTCTGCTTCCCTGCTCCTCCTCTCGCCCATCCCCCCTTCCCGCGCAGGTGCATTTCTTCCAGCAGGGCTCGGTGCCGTGCTTCACCATAGATGGCCGCATCATCCTTGAAACTCCCACCACGGTACTTCTTGCTTGCTCCCACGCTCTCGTTCCTGCCGCGCCCTCGTTCCTGCCATGCTCTCATTCCTGCCGTGCTCTCGTTCCTGCCCTCTCCCACACGCACACACACGTGCACATCTGCGTGTTGACAAAGCCCATCCTGCTCCTCTGCCTGCTTCTCCCACCCACCAGTGTTGGTCAATTTGCTTGCATCTCTTGCTCGGCCCTGTTTCCTGTGCAGCTGTCCCAAGCGCCTGATGGCAATGGTGGCGTGTATAATGGTGAGACGGGGCTGTGTGGTGGGTTGGGATGAGATGGGATGGGATGCGATGGGATGGGATGGGATGGGATGGGATGGGATGGGATGGGATGGGATGGGATGGGATGGGATGGGATGGGATGGGATGGGATGGGATGGGATGGGATGGGATGGGATGGGATGGGATGGGATGGGATGGGATGGCATGGCATGGCATCGCCCCTGCACTTACTCCCCTGCACTCACCCCCTGTACCTGATCCCACCCCCTTTGCACCAAGATTCCTGCACTGAACCCATCCCAACCGCGTCTGCATGACTGTGTCTGTGTTGGCTTGCAGTGTTGCAGGGAAGTGGTCCGCTGGGCTGGGATGGGATGGGATGGGATGGGATGGGATGGGATGGGCCCAGGGCGTCACTCACATTCAACCCTCACTGTTAATCATCTACGATCTACCCCCCCCACACACACTCACTCACCCCCTGGAGTGCAGCGCTGAAGAGCAGTGGGCTGCTGGACCGCATGCAGGTGCAGGGCGTCACAAATACTTATTCCTCACGCTGCTCTATCAACCCCTCCTGCACTCACTCACTCACTCCCCTGCGCCTGCGCTCAACCCCTTGTGCACCCCTACCCAACCGTGTGCAGCGCTGAAGAGCAGTGGTCTGCTGGACCGCATACAGGCGCAGGGCGTCACACACGCTCAACCCTTACTCTACCCAATCAAACCCCCCTGCACTCACTCACTCACTCCCCTGCTCCTGCGCTCAACACGTTGTGCACCCCTACCCAACCGTGTGCAGCGCTGAAGAGCAGTGGTCTGCTGGACCGCATACAGGCGCAGGGCGTCACACACGCTCAACCCTTACTCTACCCAATCAAACCCCCCTGCACTCACTCACTCACTCCCCTGCTCCTGCGCTCAACCCCTTGTGCACCCCTACCCCAACCGTGTGCAGCGCTGAAGGGCAGTGGTCTGCTGGATCGAATGCAGGCGCAGGGCGTCACACACGTGGAGTGCTTCTCAGTTGACAACGCCCTCGTCAGTCCCTCTCTCTCACTCAACCTCTCACTCACTCTGCCTCTTTCTTTCTCTGTCAATCTGTAAGTCAATCAGTCAGACTGTCTGTCAGTCAGTCCAGGAGGTGCCTCTGCCCGTGGCCCATGTCTCTGTACTGTATCTCCGATCACCTACCTACCACTCTTCCTCTGCTCTTCTGTTCTGCAAACCCGTTGGATATGCTGGATGACTGGTTGTCAGCTATTGCTGTGTGTATACTACCACGAGCATCCTTATCCTACCCCGTTCGCCATCCCCTCCCGCACCACCTCACCTCCCTCCCACACCATCTTTCACCCCCCCCATGGATGTTCTCATCCCCTTCCCCCCTTCCCCCCGTCCCCCACCTGCCCCTGCTCTCCACATGACCGCCTTGTGCTCAGGTGACTTTTGAGTCGACTCAAAAGTCAGCTCAGATCCGAGTAGCAGACCCCCTCTTCTTGGGCTACGTCCTGCACGAGTCTCCACAAGCCTCAAAACCCACCCTCACCAGTCACCACCCCTCCCCACCCGGCCCTGCCCTCCTCGTGGCCCCCCTCTTTGTGCTCTCAGATCCGAGTAGCAGACCCTCTCTTCCTGGGCTATGCGCTGCACGAGTCTTGACATGCCTCAAAGAATTCCCCCCCACCCGTTTCCACCCGCCCCTCCCCTCCCCCTACCCCTACCTTGTGCTCTCAGATCCGAGTAGCAGATCCTCTTTTTCTGGGCTATGTGCTGCACGAGTCTGCTGACTGCGCAGCTAAAGTGGTGCAGAAGGTGCAGCATGCGTGGGGGAACTAGGGCGGGGGAATGGGAGGAGAAGAGAAAAGGGGTAAAGAGAAAAGGGGAGAATAAAGGGGGAAGAGGCGTATAGGGTGGGTAGTATTGTTGAGGGCAGAATGAGAGGCTGGGAGGGTAGGGTGTGGGTGGGTATGTTTGGCTGCTGCTTTGCTTCTTGTTGTTGGAGGGTCGAGGACCATGTCCTCTGCTCTACACCCTCCCCGTCTCCCTCCCTCCTTCCCCATCTCCCTCAACTTTCCTTCTCCCCTTCTCCCCTTCTCTCCTTGTCCCCTTCTCCCCTTCTCCCCGCCCTCCCCTTCTCCCCTTCTCCCCGCCCTCCCCTTCTCCCCTTGTCCCCGCCCTCCCCTTCTCCCCTTCTCCCCGCCCACCCCTCTCCCCGCCCTCCCCTCTCCCCCTCTCCCCGTCTCCTCGACCTCCCCTCTCCCCCTCTCCGCAGGCCTACCCAGAGGAGCGGGTGGGCGTGTTTGTGCGCACCAACCACACGCCACTGAAGAAGGGGGAGGGGGGGGAGGGGGAGAAGGAGAAGGGGGAGGGGGAGGAGGGGGAGCTGGTGACAGCCGTGATGGAGTATAGTGAGTTACCTCCAGGCGTTGGGACGTCTGTGGACGATGCAACAGGGAAGCTCAAGTACAACTGGAGCAATGTAAGTTGGGGAAGTGGAGGGAGGAAGGGGGGAGATGGTGCGGGAGGGGAAAAGGGGGGAGAGGCAGCAGGGTGAAGGTGGGTGTGGCTGTCAGTTGAGAGGGATGCATGATGGATACCTGCTTGGATTGCGTGGGTTTGTGACAGGCAAGGCAAACTCGAGTGCAACTGAGGTGTATTTCGAAGCGCGTCAAAATCCAAGGCATACTCGAGTGCAATTGGAGCAATGTCTGTTGTTGTGGGGGAAGGGGAAAGGGGACGGTCGGGGGAGTGAGGGTGGAGAGTGGTTGAGGGTAACAAAGTGGTTGGGAAGAGGCAGGAGCATGGCAACTGGTTGTGTTAAGAGTGGGTCAAGGCAAGTGCTCAGGTTGTATCGCACTTGCCGTGACTCACCTTGGTGCTGCCCTGCCCTGACCTGCCCTGCCCTGGCCTCTCCTCTCCTCCCCTTGCTTGCCCCATGCGCGTCAGATCTGCATTCACATGTTCTCTGTGGAGTTCCTACAAGCAGCCGCTCACGCTCTCAAGGAGCAGTGCATGTAAGCTAAGCCCTGCACAGGTGGGCTAAGGCTATGTCTAAGGCCTGCACAGGTGGGCTAAGGCTATGTCTAAGGCCTGCACAGGTGGGCTAAGGCTATGTCTAAGGCCTGCACAGGTAGGCTACGTCAAGGGGACACCTAAGCCCTGCACTGCACAGGGGACGAATGTTCGGTCAAGCTCAAAAGGCAGTCAAAAGGCATGTCACTGAATGACCGAATGGCTGCCAGTGAACCGCCACTGCCTCTTTCCTTGCAGTCTCTTCGCGATTTACTTAAAGCGACACGACACTGCATGTGTGGCTCTTGGGAGAGTGAGTGAGTGCTTTCAACGATTCACCCTTCTTGCATCATCGTAACACTTGAGTCTTCAACCTGCCCATTACCCTCCACTTTTGAGAATTCTCAAAAGTCGCACCAATATAGCTGTCCGCTTCCACCTCCCCTCTACCCTCCACTGCCCGCCCCCCCCCCCCCCCTCCTCCCCCCCCCCCCCGCCCGTGATGTCACCCCAGCCATCACCTGGCGGTGAAGCGCATACCATCGGTGCACGGGGCAGTGCAGGGTGTGAAGCTGGAGCAGTTCATCTTCGACGTCTTCCCCCTCGCCTCCACCCTCGCTCTCCTCGAGGTGCCTGCTTCCTCCTTCCTCCACTCTCGCTCTCCTTGAGGTCTCATCTGCCTGGGTTCCTCTCTCTGGGTTCCTTTTCCTTGCTAACCCAGTTTTTTTCCCCATGTGACAGCATCTGTGCATCTGTTTCAACTTCAATTTTTTAACGTATCATTCTGGTACCACCAGAGTAGGAGGCTAATTTGTCTCACTGTCTTACCCTGCTCTCTGTTGCGTGTTAATGAACCGTGTCTTCTTCACTCACTCTTCTACCCTGCTACCTCATCTTCCTTTCCACTGCACTGTACCTGTGTGGATGCATGCATTCTCCCCTCTTCTCCCCTGTCTCCTCTCCCCTCTCCTGTCTCCCTCTCCCCTCTCCCTCTCCCCGCCACCCCTCTCTCCTCAACGCACCCCACCCCTCAGGTTGCCCGGGAGGAGGAGTTTTCACCAGTCAAGAACGCCCCTGGTGCTGCTGCTGACTCACCAGACACAGCCCGCAAGCATGTGCTGTCTCTGCACGCACGATGGGTGCGAGAGGCAGGCGGGCAGATCGTGAGGAGGGGTGGAGCTGATGGTGAAGGGGTTGAGAAGGGTGAGGAGGGAGGTGAGGGTGGAAAGGAGAGGGATGAGGGAGTGGAGGTGTCGCCACTTGTATCGCATTCCGGGGAGGGGTTGGAGAGCGTGTGCAAGGGAGTGGTGTTTGAGGCATTAAGTGAGATTAAAGGATGAAGACAGGAGTCACGCAAGGGAGAGCGGGGGTGAAGGGGGATGCGAGAGAGAGAGTGAGGAGCAAGGAAATTAACAGAATGAATGACTGCCAGGATAAGGTCAAATGTAGCACTGACATTTCAGGATACCTCACCTTGTGCGACCCTGACAATTCAGGGAAAATTCTGATTTTCTATAAACTGCCCTGAGGCCTCAGTGTACCCCCAAACGAATCTGAGGCCCTGAATGACTGCACAAAGTTGCTCAGGTTTGTGCAAAATAAAACATTTTATTGCCTCAGATAGACTTGACCGTTAATGTCAAGGCCGTTCATTTACAGATAACGGGTTTGTATTAGGCTTGGCGCAACCCCTCCTTGGACACTAATTAGTAGCCAGGCGGAGGTCAAGTAATGTCTTATCTACAGGCTATCGTTATGCGATGCGATTCAGTGTGAACGTAATCAAGGCGCCTTCCGACTAACCGCACGTCATCTCCGAATGCGATTACTCGTCCTAGACTGCTTTGCTTAGTTTGCGCCGGGCTTGTGCGAAGCCGTTGTTGCCGCGCCGTTGCGTTGCGTGTTGTGAACAATCAGTCAAGTTCTCCTCAATAACTGAACGGCTGAGATCTCACGATTGCTTCTGCGCGACAGCGAGAGCGCGGATCGATACTGCTAGTGATTCGTGCACGCGCACGTGGGTAGGGTGTGCTACTGCGCGCGTGCGCGCGCGCGACGCACGGCACGCGATGGCGAATAGTCGGTACGAGTACGTGAAGCAGTTCGAGCAGCCGGACAGGCTGCTGCCGCACTGCTGGATCGTCATTCGCATCGACGGCCGAGGGTTCAGCAAGTGCGTCTCCCGTCCCTGAGATTCCTCTCGCTTCGGTTCCTGATAGCCTTGCCACTTGCGCTTTCGTTCCCTGTTGTCTATTCGCTTCCGCCTGTTCGCTTCCGCCTCTCCCGCATCCGCGCATCCCGCGCTCCCCGTCTCTCCTGCCTCTCCCGCCTCCCCTCCTCCTCGCCACCTCTCCCATCCGCCTTCTCCGCCATTCTCTTTCCCACGAACACGCGGACCACGCGTTCGAGAAGCCCAACGACGAGCGCGGCCCATTTTGCCCCCTTCCCCATCCCCCTTTCCGCCGCCTCAATTGTCCTCCTTCCGCCTCGTTCCCTTTTCCCCTTTCCCCTCCGCGCATCCCTCGCAGGTTCGTAACGGACCACGCGTTCGAGAAGCCCAACGACGAGCGCGGGCCTCTTCCCCCTTCCTTATCCCCCTCCCCGCCACCGTTCCACACCTCACCCAACCGCCCCCTTCCTTCTCCGCCTCCGCTCATCCCGCGCGCAGGTTTGTGACTGACCACGCGTTTGAGAAGCCCAACGACGAGCGCGGTCTGCGGCTGATGAACGCGGCGGCGACGGCCGTCATGGCGCAGGTCCCCGACATCGTGTTCGCGTACGGCGTGAGCGACGAGTTCAGGTGCGCGAGGGGTGTGCTTGGGTTTTGATTTGATCTATTTAAAGGCGGCGACGGCCGTGATGGCGCAGGTGCCGGACATCGTGTTCGCGTACGGCATTAGCGACGAGTTCAGGTGTGCAACTAGTTCAGGTGAGCGACGAGTTCAGGTGAGGAGGGTGCCATTGTCTTGAGAGTGCAGAAAGGCTTTGTGTTCTATTTTTCACAGAGGACCATATGAAAGCACTGCCGTGCTGTTGCGTGTTTTAACTCCAGAAAACTTGTCTTTTTGCATCCATGCCATCACTAGTCATTGACACTCATTGTCCTCTCCTATCCTTTCTTTCGTTCCCTCAACTTACCCCAATCTACCCATTCTGTCCCATTCTATCCCATTCTGCGCCTTTCTGCCTTGTTCCCATCTGCGTTTCCATCTCTGTGCCAGCTTTGTCATTCGCCGTGACTCCAACCTTTACGAGAGAAGAGCCAGGTGAATTGCGCGCCTCAGTTAAGTTGTGAATAACAGGTGAATGGTATGTTACAGCACAGAGTAACTGAAGCGGTGCGTTGTTGCGAGCGCAGGCCAGGCACAACTGACTTCCGACCAGCTCTCGCCCTTCCTCGGTGTATTTTCCTTAGATTTCCCTCCTTCCAAGTTCCAACATTCCTCCCTCATTGTCTGTCTTCCCTTCATTGTAACTTCCCTTCAAGTATTCCTCTCTCCTCCCTGCCTGACCTGCTCCCCACCCACCTCTCTCCCCATCCGCCCCGTGCTCCGCCTGCCAGAGCAGCAAGCTGATATCAGTGGTGGTGTCTCTATTCGCCGCTTCCTTTGTGCACCAATGGCCAAGCCACTTTCCCTCACAGCCACTGCTCGCGCCGCCGTCCTTTGATGCGCGTGCAGTGCTCTACCCCTCCACTGCTGTGCTCCGAGACTACCTCTCCTGGCGACAAGTGGACTGTCAGTGTGCCTTGCCTTGCCCTTCCCATGCCTTGCCATGTTTGATTCGTCTCAATAGCCCACTCTACCTGCAAGTTCTGAGGCGCCTCAAAGCTCTACCCCTCCACTGCTGTGCTCCGAGACTACCTCTCCTGGCGCCAAGTGGACTGTCAGTGTGCCTTGCGTTCCCATGCCTTGCCTTGCCATGCCTTGCCTAGCCTTGGTTTGCCTCTCAACAATGAGCACCTTACGAATCGAGCCCCTTTTGTCCACAAGTCTTGTTTCCCCTAATGGCATGCGATGGCATGTCACATCACATCAGCAACCAGTAAGTCCCCTGTTTCCTTGATGGACATGTGGTGCTGATGGCAGGTCACATCAACAACCAGTACAACACGTGCTTCTGGATGCTTGTCAAGTCAGGCCTCTCGCCCAAAGAGGCTCAGGACAATATCAAGGTACCCTCGTCACCTACACAATGCATCCCACCTACCTACCCAACCTCCTGCATCCTACACCCTCCACCGTTTCCCTTCATTTTCCCCATCCGATCCTGCTCTCACTTTCCCTCAACACTTCTCAAACTTCTCTCCCCTCAGCACTCTCCCTTCAACTCTCTCCCCTCTCTCCACTTCCTCTCTGCCCCTCTGCCTCCCTCGCACCCCCTGCTCCTCTCTCCTCAAAGGGCACATTAGCGGATGCGAAGAATGAGCTGCTGTTCACCCGCTTTGGCATCAACTACAATGACCTGCCTGCTATCTTCCGCAAAGGCTCCTCCATCTTCCGCCACCAGGTGCTGCTGCTGCTGCTTTCGCCACCCCCGCCGCTCTGCTGCTGCTGCTGGTGCTGCTGTTTCAGATAGCTCTGGTTGTAATTTGACTGCTTTCTGCTTGCTTGTTCCGAGAATGGGCTCACCCTGCTGCCCAAACAATAGTCATTTCACGACATCCGTACACAATGTGGCACTGTTGCTCACCTGATATGCCATGGCAGGTGGAGGAGCAGGTGGAGGGCAAGCAGCACCCGGACGGGCGGCCCGTGGTGCGCAAGAAATCCAAGCTGGTGGTCGTGCACGATGACATCATCGCTGATGCTTTCTGGGCGGCAAACCCGCATCTGCTGGGGGAGTAGCTGAAGCAGATGACGTACCATAGATAGAGCTCTGTGCTCACATGTAGTTCACATTACCGTACATACGGTGTACCGTAGTTCATACTGTATCAAGAGTGTGTATGGGATGCGTGCTGTTGGGACCCTGTGGGCATCTGCCATAGGTGGCATGCAGGCCCCTAGATTCGTTTTGAGGTAGTCTGACGCCTCAGAGTACACCCCTCTTCCTAGTATGGCTGTCAGAGTAACCTATTTTTTTTAGTCTGAAAATTCAGACAAGCACAACTTTTTTTGTCTGAACTGTCAGAGTTACTTTCATTTTTTTAAATGTTCATTTAGTTTCGTAAAAGCATAGTTATAATATCACTGGAGCTGATTACAGCCTACCAACGCATCAGGCAACGTGCTCGTGCATCGCCACTGCTCATGTCGGCGGCATTCTGGTGTTTTTGTCACGTGCAGCGCATGGTTGTTTCTGCTGATCTCATTTCGTTTTGTCGTGTGTGTGATTACCGTTCTGTACCCATTTTCTCGCCTGTGTGCCAATTTTGTCAATGGGTTTGCGTATCTAGCGATGCGATCGTTCACCCGATCTGCCACGCAGCTGAGCTGTCAGCAGGCAGAAATTGTTGCTTGGCGTGACATGTGAGCATCAGGTACACGAAACTTTCACATGAAACTTTCACCACGAAATGGCGAATCAGATTCAGGACCCTCGCAATTTCAAAACAGTGCGTACTGCAGATGTTTTGAGAGCGAATCAGCATCGAAGTCTCCTTTTCTGTAACTTACATGTGACGAGATTTTGTCTTAAAAATCCCGTAATCACGCAACCGTTTCCTCAGCGTAACTGGAAGATCTTCTCGACGAACGAGTGTATTCGGATGTCCCAGCTGTTGAAGTGTGCGTTGCTCACGTCCTGGCACTCCACTGCCATCTCGGAAGTGGGCATATTGAAAGGAAACTTCCAGGAAACTTCGCTCCGATAAGCGCGCAGAGTATACCCTCGATACAAGTCTGAGGCTCAGCCTACACTAATAAAATTAGGCTGAAATTTCAGACAACTCATAAAAAAAACCTCTGAAAAATCAGACAAGGTACATAAAAAAATTCTTAGACTTCAGACTAGGTACAAAAAAAAAGTCTGAACGGACTCTGAATCAGACTTTAAATTCTGATATTTAGGGCACTGGTGGCATGACAATAGCGTCTGTGTAGAACTTGTAAGGCATCATATGAAATGCAGAACTTGTAAGGCAATGATAGTTCAGGTGCAATGGAGCAAAGCTGTTTCATCAATTAATGAATATATACAGATTATCCACACACAAAAAACGAACAATAAGAATAAGAATATGAATGAAATGAACAAATATCCCCCTCCGCCACCCCCCTCACCCCCCCCCCCTTCCTCCCTTTTCCTCCCCTTTCCCCCCCAATTCTCAAGTCTGCTACACGTTGATCATACGGGTGCCACCTTATCCCGCCACTACCATTCACGGAGCAGCCTCGGACCCAGGAGCAGCATCCGAGCCAGGTGCGCTCTCCGAACCTGGTGCACCTTCCGACCCAGGGGCGCGGCTAGCTGCCTCTTCCGCCTCCTGCGCCGCAGCCTCCGCCGCCTCCGCAGCTGCAGCCTTCTCTGCCACGATCCTGTCCGCCTCCGCCCTGCGCGCCTGCGCGGCCTTCAGCGCCGCCCGCAGCTTCGTCAGCCGCACCGCCGCCGCCTTCGCCACCTTCTCCGCCGCCTTCGCCGCGTCCTCCGCTGCTTTTGCGTCCGCCTCCGCCTTCGCCGCCGCCGCCTCCGCCGCAGCCGCTTTGTCCAGCAGCGCCTGATCCTCCGGCGTGAGGGTCACTTTGAGAGTCCCCGCCGCTTCCGCCGCGGCCTTGGTCGCTTCCGCGTTCGCGGCGGACTCTTCCGCGTTCGCGGCGGACTCTTCCGCGGATGCGCTCTGAGCGGCCTTGTTCAGCTCCGCCGCCTTCTTCTGCTCCGCCTTCGCCTTCGCCTCCGCCGCCTTCGCCGCGCCCTTGCCCTTGCCCTTGCCCTTGGCGGCGTCCGCTGCCGCCTTGGTCGCGTCGTCGGCGGTCTTCTGCTGTGAGCCTGCTTCCGCCACAGCCTTATCTTTCCGCGCCTTTGCCTGGGCGGCTTTTTCCAGCGCCTTTTGCGCCTTCTCCTGCGCCTTCTGGTACTTATCGGCGGCTTCCGCTTTCCTCTTCAGCCCCGCGGTCGCCTGCTTCGCGTCCGTCGCGTTCTTCCGCGCCTGCTTCGCGGTAGCCTTCGCCGTGATTGCCGCCGCTTTCACCGCCGCCACCTCCGCCGCCGCCACGTTGGCGGCGGCAGTTGCTTCTTCCGCGGCGCGAGTGTCGGCGACGGCCTCAGCTGCTTCCAGCTCCGCAGCAGCCTGATCAGCGGCTGCTCTCAGGCGAATAGCGATCTCCTCCAGAGTTTCCTGAGTCTCTGCTAAACGAATGCGTCGCGCCTCGGAAACATGAGGCCCACTCAAGATGAACATAATCACAAGTGCTGAAAGGGACAAAGAAACGATTGATCGTGCCATGCCTCTGGGTAGTTTGAGAATTGACAAGGCTGAGGGTGGGATGGTCGAAAAGGAAGTTGTGTGAGCTTGTAATAGAATGCGATGTGGTGGGTGGCATTCGGGCGAGAATTTGTACCTCGTGAAGTCGCGGAATTTCGCTGCACCTGGTGAAAACGCCAACTGGCGACAACTCACCTTTCCCGACCACGTTCGCGGGCTTTTCCGCGTTTCGCAATTCGCGTGGCTACCAACTTCCAGTTTCGCTGGAGGCACCGCCAAATTTGAATACCTCCCCGTGATGAAAGATTCACAGCGGAAATGCGGATTATGGCGACTCGGGAATGGGGGAATGTGCTCATCAACTGCGTAACACAACATGGGCACTGCGAGCTTCTACCCCACATACACAGGTTGGCAAGAACACCCAACATGATCACGAATTGCGGCCGTGTTGAATGTTGCGGTAAGCGTCATTGCGTTATCAAATTATTTTCAAGTGCAGCCACCTAGTCATTTCCAGTGTCTAATTTTCTTCACGTGAAAGTAGCTAATCTATGTGTATTTCATGAACAATGGCGTATATTTCCGTATTTTGGCTGCTTAGAATATGACAGCCAAATATTCTTCTTGGGTAAGACAACCATGATACCATTAATGTCGCATACCATATTTGCGGACTCTAGGCTGAAAAAAATGCATCTGAAGAAATTTTCTTGTTACAATCTACCACCCTCTGTAACTCCCAGCGTCCCCCCTACCACGCCCAAATGTAGATCCTCCGAGTTATGGTATAATACTTGGTGCAGAGTATAAAGATGGTCTAATAGGAGCGTAAATGCTCTGTTCAGACTGTAGACGAGCCTTTCGTTCTCATTTCGACTCCACATGAAAGGCGGACACCTGGTTGGGACCAGTGACCGGTCAACCAATCAACGAAAGCGGTGCTTCATTCCCGTTGGCTCATTCGTTGAATTCACAGGAGTGATGCTTTCCGCTGGCATGCGTCGGACATCCCATATCCACTCCACGCCAGCTCCACATCCAGCTGACCTGTCCCTCGCCCACGTATAGCTCGCCGTGCTTTCGCCGAAATGCCTGCAGGCCGACCTGTCATCGGGGGTGCAATCAAGCACCAATGCGCGGCTCGCCACGGCAGGGATTGCTCCGTCAGCTCTGGGAACTGCGGCATGAGGTCTCAGCACGTCAGGCAGCGGGGCGATAGAAGACGAGGTGTGAATTTTGTGCCTAGCGCTAGATTGTATAAAATCTCCTCCACCCGCGCACCATTCGTCATTCTTTTACGCGCAGCCTGACATTTCGTTCTCCTCTACTCTAACGCCATCTCGCGGCTCTATTCGCAGGGCCGCCTGGTGTCTTTTTAGTCGGCTACCGGCTCTCTCTGTAGAACGAGCGCCTCGATATTGTCTCATCTTGTCGACCTCGTCGGTTTAGAGTCTTGCGGCGTTTCTTCGACAGTGCGATTCTTGCTTCCGCGCGCATTTTCGCTGGGTGACGAGCGTGCAGAGTTCAATTCATACCAAGAGCTATTCAAGAATGGCGATCGTTCCTCGGAGCCGTTGGATCTTGCCGAACCAAGCCGATGACGACAACGGGAGGGAGAAAGCCGAGAGGCGGCTTACGATGTCACTGAGGTGAGCCATCGCGCCTTTCTACTTTTTCTGCAATCCAAGAAGCACAGTCTGTAAAAAAGCACTTTCCGATCTCCGCAAGGTTGCGTGAGCGCTGCATCACATTTCAACACCTTCTCACCTTTTAGGTAACACATTAACACGTGTTAATTCTCCACTCGTACCTCTCCGCTCGCAACCCCAGGCACCTGGTACCGCAGGAGTTCATCCATTCCGTGCCGCGCCCGCTCTCCCTCGAGCCCTGCTCCTCCATCGTCTTCCTGGGCGGCGCGGCGGCGGTGACGGCGGCGGCGGAGACGCTGCACCCGCACGGGCACATCGACGAGGAGGTGGTCCACGTGGGTCCCGAGTTCAGCTGGCAGGCGCACGTGCGCAACCGACTTCAGGTAACATTATTATTACTATTTATATCTGATGGCGCATTGGGCGTTACGGTTGACCTAATTCTGTAATTAGTTCTGTTAACTCCAGAAGGAGCCCTGACGTTGGGGCTACAGAGGCGGCGCCAATGGGGTTTGCTGCTTTGCTGCTCATGTCAATGTCGAGTCGACTTGGTGTTTCCAGTTCCCACTCGAATTCGTTCTCATTCTGCCCCGCTCCTTCCGCCCCGCGGCGCGCCCCGCTTGTTTCTCCGCAGTACGACCAAATGTGGCGGCAGTCGATCGAGAACCCGACGCGCTTCTGGGGCAACGTGGCGAGCGACTTCTTCTGGCACAAGAAGTGGGACGACGGCACGTCCATCGTGCGTCACAACTTCGACGTGCGCAACGGACCCGTCGCCGTCGAGGTGCGCGCGCTGCCCGTTTGCTTTCAGTACAAAATTGTTTTGGAAATTTGGCGCAAAAGGGATTTAATAAAGGGACTAGAGGAGAATTAAGTTGGAATGCACATCACATTCCTCCATTTCGGGTCGCTGCAACCCCCATCCGCTTCTCGCGCTCTCTCTCGCTCTTTTCCTTCGCTCAAATTTCAACTGTTTCCCCGCCCCCTCTCTTCTCTTCGTCGGCCAACAGTGGTTCCCGGGCGGCTACACCAACGTGTGCTTCAACGCCGTGGACCGCCACGTGGCGGCGGGGCGCGGCGAGACAACGGCGATGCTGTGGGAGGGCAACGACCCCGGGGACGACGCGCGGCTCTCCTTCAACGAGCTGCTTGACCAGATCTGCCAGGTGCGGGGAGCGCGCGGATGGGGGAATGCTCATTGGGAAGTCGGGCAGGAGGGGAGGTGGTGGAATGCGGGCATTTAGGGGAGCTATGAGACTTTGCAAGATTATCTGTCCAGTGTGCTAGGTATGGGGCAAGGAGTGGATAAATCAAAGTAAGGTTTGGCAGCAACTACTACATTACGACATGACAACTGGTTTCCTTCCCCTCAGAGACGTCTCTGATCTCGAATACGTCCCTAATACGTAATTCTTCGAGCTGGGATCTCAAAATCCTCGTGCGTTCATCTCACATCCCTTCTGTCATTCTCAGGAACCCCTCATTTCGTGTGTATCCCCTCCCTTTGTCTCACCTCTCCCCCGTCTCCTCTCTCATCTCTCCTCTCTCCCCTCTTCTCGTCTCTCCTCTCTCCTCTCTCCTCTCCCCTCTCCTATCTCCTCTCTCCACAGCTCGCCAACTTCCTGAGGGCAGCGGGGGTGCGCAAGGGAGACACGGTGTGTCTGTACATGCCCATGGTGCCGGAGCTCCCCATCGCCATGCTCGCATGCGCGCGCATCGGCGCCATCCACTCCGTAAGCACCTGCTCTGCTCCTTCCGCCTCTCTTCCGCCCCCCTTGTCAATTCACTTCTATTTCTTCCAGAGTCTTCAATGTTTTCAATTTCTCCCACAACAGAAACGTCTCCTTGGTTGTAATCGCAGCGCAGTCTTCTCAGTTATCCACGCCCTCGTGAACCCGTCTCCTCACTCCTCCCCTTTTGACCTTCCTCTCTCATCTCTCCTCCCTCCTCCCTCGTTCCCCCCCGCTCCCCCCTTCTTCCCCTCCTTCCCTCCTCCCCGCAGGTGGTGTTCGGGGGCTTCTCCGCGGAGTCACTCGCGGGGCGCATGGTGGACTGTCGTCCCAAGGTGCTGCTCACGTGCAGCGCCGTGCGCCGTGGGGACAAGCTGCTGGCGCTCAAGGACATAGCGGACTCCGCCCTGCGCATCTGCGCCGACCGCGAGAACCTGCACATCCGTGAGTGCTGCCCGCCTGCCTTTCAGTGTCTTGTTGAACCTGCATACCTGCTTTGGACTCCGAAGCTGCTGCTGCTCGCACACAAGGACATCGCCAACTCTGCCCACCGCATCTGTGTGTGCTGACCGCGAGAACCTGCACATCCGTGAGTGCTCCACATGCCTTTCTGTGTGTGTGTGCGTGCATCACCGTTTCTTCCCCCTTGTCTCTGTCTCTCTGCCGCCACCTTCTTGCACGTCTCAAGGCTCCCTTCACCCCTTCCCCCCGCTCTCCGCGCTCCTGTTCCCAGAGACGTGTCTGGTGTACGACAACTCGCGCGCCATGGCGCGGCACGATTGTGCGTTCACGCCGGGGCGGGACGTGTGGTGGCAGGAGGTGGTGGGCACGTACCCCACGGACGCTGACGTGGAGTGGATGGCCAGCGAGGACCCGCTCTTCATGCTCTACACCTCGGGCTCCACCGGCAAGCCCAAGGTCCGTTGGTGTGCGTTGGGGTGTGTGCGTGCTGTGTTGTATGCGGCTTGTGTGTGAGCCACGGGCATGCTCTGCACCTCGGGCTCCACCGGCAAGCCCAAGGGGTGTGTGTGTGTTGCTGCCTGCTTGTGTATGGTAATCCACCCCTGCAGGGCGTGGTGCACACGACGGGCGGCTACATGGTGTACGCAGCGACGACGTTCAAGTTCGCCTTTGACTACAAGCCGCGTGGATCACGGGGCACTCTTCTGTCCCCGACTGTATCCCCTCAGCCCTCCTCCCACTCCTCCCCCTCCTCCCTCACCCTCCCCCTTTCCCCCATCCGCCGTCTCTCCTACCTCCTCCCCGCCCCCTCCGCCTTCCCTGCCTCTCCCCCCCCCCCCTCCGCAGGGAGTGGTGCACACGACGGGCGGCTACATGGTGTACGCAGCAACAACCTTCAAGTTTGCGTTTGACTACAAGCCGGGCGACGTGTACTGGTGCACGGCGGACTGCGGGTGGATCACGGGGCACTCGTACCTCACGTACGGCCCGCTGCTCAATGGCGCCACCATCGTCGTCTTCGAAGGGGTGAGCTGAGCGCCATGCACGCATGATCAGATGAATGGCACTGAGGGAATGTGAGGGGGATGCGAGGGGATGTGAGGAGGTTTGAGCACTCTCTCATCCAGTATAGCCACAGCCTCGTTGCACAAGTCAGCACCCTCGGCACTTGCGGTTTGGCTTTGCCAGTCTCTCCTCTATTCCCTCCTCCCCCTCCTCTCCACTCTGCCGCCACTAACCCTCCCTTGTTCCAGTCCAGACCCAGCCCACCTACTCCCGGCCCCTACCCTACCACCACCCTCCTAACCTTCCCTCCTCTTCCCTTCCGCCCCTCTCCTCCGCTCTTCCCTCCCCCTTCTGCTCCTACCGTGGACCTATGACAGACGCCCACGTGGCCGGATCCGGGGCGGTGGTGGCACATAGTGGACAAGTACAAGGTCACCATCTTCTACACCGCGCCCACCGCCATCCGCTCCCTCGAGGCCTGCGGTGACTCGGTCAGTGCTGCCACTCTCTCTCTCCCTTCCTCCTCTCTGCCCTCAGCTGCCGCAGCTGCCTCACTGCCTCACAGCATCACAGCGTTCACTGCCTCGCTGCTTCTCCTCGCTGCATGTGTGTCGCACTCTTGCACGTCAGTGCTGCCTCTCTCTCTGCCTCTCTCCCCCTCACTCTGTCTTGCTGCTTCTCTGCTCTTCTCTGCATGCGCGTCGCACTCTTGCACCCTGTGACGCATGCACTCACTTCATTAACTCACTCACTCCCCTCTCCTCCCCACCCCCGTCCTTCCCTCGGCTTCCCACCGCAGTACGTGCGCCGCCACTCCCGCGCATCTCTCCGGGTCCTCGGCTCCGTGGGCGAGCCCATCAACCCCAAGGCGTGGCGCTGGTACTTCGAGGTCGCTCACCCACTCGTTCCTCCACTCTCTCCTCCAACCGCTCCCCTTCTCCCCCACCCACCAGTACGTGCGCCGCCACTCGCGCGCATCTCTCCGCGTGCTGGGTTCCGTGGGCGAGCCCATCAACCCCAAGGCGTGGCGCTGGTACTTCGAGGTCGTCGGCGGGGGCCGCTGCCCGATCAGCGACACGTGGTGGCAGACCGAAACCGGCGGCATCTGCATCACGCCGCTCCCCGGCGCATGGCCGTTAAAGCCCGGCTCGGCGTCTCTCCCGTTCTTCGGAATCGAGCCCGTGATTCTCGACCAGCAGGGGAGGGAGCAGGAGGGGCCGTGCGAGGGGTACCTGTGTCTGCGCCGCCCGTGGCCGGGAATGGCGCGGACGCTCTTCGGCGACCACACGCGCTTCGAGGCGACGTACTTCAGCGTCTGGAAGGGCTACTACACCACCGGCGACGGCGCGCGGCGCGACCGCGACGGGTACATCTGGCTGACGGGGCGCGTGGACGACGTGATTAACGTTAGCGGGCATCGGATCAGCACGGAGGAGGTGGAATCGGCGTTGGACGCGCATCCCGCGTGCGCGGAGGCGGCGGTGGTGGGGTACGACCACGAGGTGAAGGGGCAGGGCGTGTACGCGTTCGTGACGCTCATGGACGGCATCTCGCCCAGCGAGTCGCTGCGCAAGGCGCTCAGGGACACCGTGCGCAACGAGGTGCGCGCGCCTGCCTGCCTGCCTGTGTGTGTGTGCGTGCATGTGCGCGCGTGTGCGCGCGTGTGTGTGCTTCCTTGTTCTGTTTCGTGCGCTCGTCCTGTTCCCACGTGCTGTTTCGGGCTGCTAGATCCTTCCTTCCTTTTTCCCTCTCGGACCCATCGCGCAACACCTTTTCCTCCCGTGGCTTGTGTTGCGGTGACGTAACGTGGCATGCACGCAGATCGGGTCGTTTGCGGCGCCGGACGTGATTCACTGGGCGCCGGGGCTGCCCAAGACGCGCAGCGGCAAGATCATGCGCCGCATCCTCAGGAAGATCGCCGCCAACAAGCTTGATGAGCTGGTAAGTGTGAGACGTGTGAGGGGTGGGAGGGTGGGATGGGAAGGTGGGAGGGTAGGGAGAGAGGGTGGGCGAGTGGGACAGGGTGACATGGCTCTGGCTCGGGGGAATGGTGGGCGGAGAGGAAGGGATGGCATGGCAGGCAAACATGAGACATGAGTCATGAGTCAGTTATTGATGCAGTCATTTCCTCATGGCGTGGAGGATGGTCTGTGCTCAACTCCCTGCTTCCACTTCTCACACACTGTGTCTTTTTTTACAGGGTGACACATCATCTCTGTCCAATCCTGCCATAGTGGACGAGCTGGTTTCCTTGAGGGGAAAGTGAGGGGCAAGATAGGCCTTGCCTTTGCTCCATGCAGCATGCTGCTGCTGGCGCGGTGAAAATGACGCAGCAGCGCCTCTTGTAATTACGAATGCTGAGCCAGAAGTGGAAGGTTATGTTTGCACGAAAGCTTCTGTTATTTCCATAAATTTTGATAGGGGAAAATGTGGTATGTAGCTGTTCCTATTTGAAGCTTAGCTGTTTTTGTTGAAGTAAGAAATTTTATTTCGGGATGTGTATATCATTTGCTACTGTAACTCTGCCTTTGTTTATTGGACGCGAGGCAGCTTGTAGTGGTCTTTCTTTTCCAGCCAGCCAGCGCAATCCACACATGTTCCACATCATAACTTCCATTTCTCCTGCTGAATGAGTAGAAGCTATTGGTCAAAAGTGTGGACCTACGATATTGTCCAATCACTATGGGTGCAATGACATGTCAAGTACCTTCTCCGTCGTGGCAGCGAGACCGTTGCTGCCAAGTAATCCGATTAGCCAATGGTGTTGCTTCCCGGAAAATCACGAATTTCGGTGTGCTTCCCACAGCCATGGAACCCAAAAAATCATGCCCTCCACTCGCTAGGCTCGTTTCTTTGTTCATACCTGTGTCTGCTGTTGTTCTCTCACGGAACATATTTTTGCCCGTTGTCAATGAACAGTGTTCCACATTTTGCACTTTTAACACGTGCCAAAATACCTTTCTTAGGCTTGTACACCACCACCACATTTCGCACACCGTTTATCCGTTTCCTTTGTGCGGTGGAGCCCATCTGCCCGTCATCCAAATGCACGTCACCAGATCAGGGTCATGATGCACCGCATCGTGGGTAAACTTTTCCGTCTTCCGAGGATAAACCTTCTCCTCCGAGTGACTTTTGTGTATACCCATGAGCTGCATGTTAACTACAAGGTCTAGAAAAATTACACGAGGGCGGACTAACGATATGTTATCTATGCGTTCTCTGTTTGTTTTTGTTCTTTGTGTTAACCCCGAAGTTCCGAAGAATGTATTCACATACCCCACCCAGACGAGACCCCTTGAAAATTCGCGACTCGTTCGTCCCGTCTATTCCCACACCGCGGATTTTGATCTTCGTGTGGTTGTGAGCTGGCCTAAAGGGGTGGTTGAGCTCAGCAACGAGCCTAGTGACGCCGCCAATGCGTGGCTGCGCTTGATCCATTCTCGGGCCTGGAAGGGAGTGTCACTGTCGGGGGAGCGCCAGGGGAATTCGGCTCGGCCCGGCAAAGGGAGGGGGGAAAACCGCTAATTCCGCCACTGCCGTGCGGATAACTTCCGCGCCTGCATTCCCAACAATGCATTTTCCGCCAACTCCCCAAAGTTTTCCACATCTTTCCCCCAAATTCCCCCTTTTCCGCCAACTCTTCCCCCGCTTCCCCAGCCCCGCACTCTCATGCGGTCCTCATTCTTCCCATCCCACCCAACACAACCAACCGCTTCGGGTACAAAGCCCCCTCTCGCTCACTCCGTTCCTCAGTCACTTGCAGCTCCATCAATCACCTTTTCTTTTAGCTTTTTATCAGAGCGGCAACAGGCTCAACTCAGGCTTGGGTTCGGCCCATCACCAGCGCAGGCGCGAAGGCACAGACAGAAGTCATGGCTGCTGCTGTTTCCTCTGCCTTGCTTTCCGGCTCCGCAGCGGTCCTCGACCGCCGGGGAGCTTGCGACGCGAGGACTTCCTCGCTTCGCGCCGCCACTTCGTCGGCTGCTGCTGGTTCCGCCGTTTCCTTGCTTCCGACCTCATCACGTCGTTCTAAAAGCCTCAACCGTCTCGCTGCGCGCGCGTCGGCTTCAGACTCATCGTCAATTGGACCTCTCGTCACCGACAGGAGCCATGGCGTACTCTCCGGCGAGTGGGACAAGAGCGTGTCGCTCCTCACATACGAAGACCTGTCGCATCACCTCCAGAATGTTCTCATCCGCGGATTGGTCGAGGACTCCGAGGCGGCTTCCATGGAGCCTGTTCCTCTGACAACCTCGAGGAGACATGGAATTGTGTCCGGCGAGTGGGACAAGAGCGTGTCGATGCTTCACTACGAAGACCTCTCGACTTACTTCGAGGCGACGCTGCTGCAAGGCCTGCAGGAAGACGCGGAGGAGAAGTACGTACCGCTCGAGGCGGACCGCGCGCACGGCGTCGTGTCGGGCGAGTGGGACAAGAGCATCTCGATTCTCAGCTACGAGGACCTTTCGCAGCACCTTCTCGAGAACTTCCCCGCGGGCTCCGCGGCTCCCGCGCCGGAGCAGGTGGTGCCGCTGATGGCGGATAGGAGCCATTGCGTGCTGTCGGGCGAGTGGGACACGGGCGTGACTTATCAGAGCTACGAGGATGTGAAGTTCCACCTGCAGTCGAAGATGGCGAAGGAGCGCCGTGCAAATTAGCTGGTAACCATGTAAAATTCAGCTAGTCGCACGATGTGCGATGCTCGCGTCCAATCTGCCGATAATTCTGCCGCCTGCTCTAGCAGGACCTAGTATGCTCACGCCTGTAAATGTCTCTAATGCCAATAGAGGTGGGGTACGTCAATTACGGAAACTTGATTCGCTCTGTTCAATACTTATTATGGAAACGCTGTTCAGTTGTTTGTTATCCACTCCTCCGTTGACTCTGACTAGCATAAGCTGCTACCTTTTGCTACAAGACTGGTTGGTGCAGTCAATCTAGTGCTGCATGGTACTTGCATGTCTGGCCATAAATGCCAACTCTTGGGGTCTTCAAACCGGTTCACAGCTTCAGTCCATGGCTACCGTCATACCGTATTCCTGTCCTGGTGTACTAGTGCATAACACATGCTTCAAAACACTAAGGGAACCTTGATACATACAGACAACTCAAATGATTCCAGCAATACATTCCAGAGTACTAAATGCTACCCAACTGGAGCAGGCTGAAGAGTGTACTGGTGGTGCAGGGTGATCCTATTGCGCACCTCGTCCCTCTCCCTGTTCACCACACCCACCTGCCGCTGGGAGCCTGTGAGTGGTGGTGTGTGGTGTGGCATGCGTAGCCCACGCGCTGTGCCGGGACGTTGGTGCTGTTGCTGTGCATGCGCATGCTCATGCTCATAAGTACGCATCTGCTGCTGCTGCTGCTGGTCGTGATCATGCTGCTGCTGGGTCTGTTGTGCTTCAGTGAGGAGCTGAAGCAGCTCACGTGCCTGCCAGCACACACAACCAGTGGATGGATACATGCGAGGATTTTAGGGGCCGTGGATGGGAATGCATGCTGGTCGTGCGCTGAAAAGTAACGAGGAACAGACACCATAGTGTGTGCATGTATCGGTGTGCGCGTGCACACACTCGTGGTTGCAAGTGGATGCAACATGCATGTGCGTACGTGGTTGCATATGTGTATGTGCAAACAAAAGCTCCTGCTCACCTTCCTCCTGACTCGTTCAGTCTGCCCCCTCCCCTCCACCATCCTCCCCAGCAACGCCTCCACCCTCAACCCCACCACCTCTTCCCTCCACGACTCCCTCCCCTCGGTCGCCACCAGCAGCAGTGTCGTCACTGCCGCCTCCCTCCCAAGGCTCGACCCCTCCTCAATCACCCTCCGCATTCCAGCGATCCCTCCGGCATTCACGATAGCCTGCCGGCCTTCCCCTGCTGCCGCTAGCGACGCCAGCAGAACAGCACAGTCCTCTACCAGAGTACCCCGCGCGTCGTCCCTCTCGCAAACGGTGCTCACTATATGGGGTACGATCCCCGTCGCCACAATCAGCGGCTTGTTCGGGCGGTATATGGAGAGGTAGTAAAGCGCACGCAGCGCGATGATATGCGCGGGGAGCGAGGAGGGGGAGGGGGGAGGCGACGGCTGCAGGTGGAAGGAGAAAGACGTGGAAGCGGAGGAGTGAGAGGAGGAGGCAGAGGAGGAGGGCGGACAGGTGAAAATAAACACAGTGGCAAGAGACGGGATAGCTCCGAGTTTTGCAATCTCTTTTTTCATGTCGTTGTTCTTCGCGAGACTGAACAGCACTGCTGCTGCGTGCTCCTGTATAGTCCGGCTGGCTGCCTCACTGAATGTCACATGGGCTGATGCTGCAGCCTCTGCTATGGGACGAGGCCTGGATGGTGCGTTGCTGTTGCTGCTGTTGCTGTAGGTGTTGCTGCTGCTTGCTCTGTGCTGGCTGCTCCTGTTGCCTGTCGTGGTGGTACTGTTGTTAACGTTGCTGCTGCAGTCCCAACCTCCCCCTTCCCCAATCCCACTCCCACCGACGTTCCCCTCCCGGGCCCCACCACTACCCACACTGCCCCCACCCCCACCCCCCGCATGCCACACCATGCACGCACACGCATGCTCCAACAACTCCACAACAGGACAAACGGCGCCGGCCGCCTGCAGCAGCCTCTGGTTCACATCGAGAATCGAAACGTTCCGAAGCGCAGCGATGGAGCTCTCGACCAGGTCCGGGAGCTGCCGAGCCTGCGTGAGAGCGAGGAGCGGAGGGATTCCCCCAGCCACAGTGATGTACTCCCGCCAGCGCGTGCCGCGGCGGGAGAGATGGCGCAGTAATTCGCATGCCGCTAAGATGCCCACTGGATCTGCTTTTGCCATTTCCTCTTTGAGTAGTTCTACTGGGTTCATGTTCATGCCCCCGGTGCTGCTGCTGCTGCTGCCCATGCTAGCGGTGGGAGTGGCAGCAGGAGTGGCAGCAGCAGTGGTGGTGAGAGCAGCAGTGGAGGTTTCTGCGGGGGAAGCAACGGCAGGAGAAGCAGAAACAGCATGAGGGGCAGGTGGAGGAGCAGGAGGAGCAGCAGAAGCGGTGATAGTAGCAGTGTTCCTGGTGGTGGTTGCAGCAGCACTGCTGGCGTGAGCAGTTGCAGAAGCAGCTGGCGCAGCACAGGGGTCAAGCATGCTGGTTCCATCACTGCCAGAGCCCGCAGCAACATCAGCAGCAGCAGCAGCAGCAGCAACGGCAGCAGAAGAAGCCACGGCAGCAGCAGGAAGAGTGTGTGAATCAGGAGCATCAGCAGCACCAGGTGCAGCATCAGCAACAGCAGCAGCAGGAGGCCTGGAGTGTCTTTTACCCGTGGCAGCAGAAGCAGAGGACAGAAAGGCTCCCACCCTGACCCGGCACCCCGACCGTACACCCGACCCTGATTCCGAACCAGATCCGTCACTCCCGTCCGAACCTGAACCGCACGCCCATTTACCGGACCTCCCAGACCCATCACCACCCTCTCCACCCTCTCCTCTCCTCCGTCTGCCCCTCTTCCCCACACACCCCTTGCCCTCCTCTGAACCATCACTACTTGTGTCCCCCTCAACCTGCCTTGCACCCGCACCCATCCCATGGCTTCCCCTTTCCCTTTCACTCTGCTTTGGCGCTGCCCCCATCTTTGCCTCGTCCTCAGCTACCCTCTTTCCCGTGTGCCGTCCTACAGACGTCTGCCGCAGCAACGTTTGAGGCACCTCAGAAGGCGACACGTGAGGCGCCTCAAACGACGAGCTGTGAGACGCCTTGAGAGGCGAGCTTTGAGGCGTCTCAAGAGCCCCTACCGCATCGCCCACCTCTTGCCCCCTTGCCTCGTGTCGTCTGATAGACGTCTGCCGTTGCAAGCCCCCCTGCTGCTGCGCCCACTGCCCTTCCCCTGCCGCAGTGGTAGCAGCAGGAGCAGTATCATCATCAGTAGCAGTGGCAGCAGCAGGAGCAGATGAAGCCTTTTCCTCCTTCCTGGCCCTCTCCCCACTGCCTTTGCCCCATCGAAGCCCGGAAACCGGTGATTTGGCAACAGCAGCAGCTTCAGCTGGTGGGTTGTAGGGAAGGACAGAGGAGCGGGCTGATCGCCTGGCAGGAGGGAGAGGCGATTGGGAGGCGGTTCGTGGCGTGGGAACGAGTGGGGGCCGGCTAGGGGACCATTTTGGCGTTACTGGTGGTGTTGGTGATGATGGAACTGCTGCTGACCTGGCTGATACTGGTGTTGGTGATGGGACTGGTGATACGGCTAGTGTTGCAGTTTGAGGGTGAGAGGAGGGCGGGGGGATACTGAGAAGCGGTGGTGGTGGCAGGGGGAAGAGCCCGGTTGAGGTAGAGGGGTTGGTGAGGAGGCTGTTGAGTGGAGGTTGGATGGGAGGAGAATGCATGGGAGGAGGTTGGATGGGAGAAGACGGTGCTGCTGCTGGTGGTGGTGCATGAAGATGGAGAGAGGGTGCAGGACTGGCTATAGTGGTTGCTTCTGCTGCTGCTGACGATGGTGTTGACGCTGGCAATGGTGCTAATGCTGCTGCTGCTGCTGCTGCTGCTGTTGATTGTGCTGCTGCTGCTGATGCCGACGGTGGTGCTGACGGTAATGGTGACGATGGTGCAGAGGAGCGATGACGAGGAGGAAGACCGGCGGTGGCAGCGGGAGGAGGCGGACGAGGAGGGAGAAGAGAGAAGGAGGGGAGGTTGGAAGGGAGAGAGGTCGTGGGGCGCAGGAGGGCGATTCTCTCTGGTTTAGACTTAGAGGCTGGGGGGTTGGAGGATCGAGTGAGGGAGAGAGCAAGAGGGTGGGCAGGAGAGTGGGCAGGAGAAGGAGCAGGAGAGGAGGATAGGGAGCGAGATGTGGATATGCGAGCGGTTGGGTTTGCGGGTCGCTGGTAAGGGCTGAATCTTCTAAGGACGGGTTGAGAGTCTGGGCTGCCGCTGCTGCTGCTGCTGCTACTGCTGCTGCTGATGGTGCTGACGCTAGTGATGCTCTGACTGTCCTCCTCCTCATACTCAGGAGCAGCAGCTGCTGCAGCGGTGGTGGCGGCAGCAGCGGCGGCGGCAGCAGCCGAAGCAGCAGCACGACCCAAAATGTCACCATCATCAGCAGCACCAGCATCATCAGCATTATCACCATCATCACCATCACCATCAGCATCAGCATCACCATCAAGGCGAAATGAAGAGTCTTCGCTATCTCCTATCCTCCTGCTGCTGCCCATCTCCTCATCCCCACCATCTCCCATCTCCACCACCCCATCTCCCATCTCCACCACTCTATCTCCCATCAGCAGTGGTAGAGATGACAATGATGCGTCTGCAGCAGTGGCAGTAGCACGAGCATCATCATCAGCAACAGCAGCAGCAGCAGCAGTGGCAGCAGGTGGCGTTGATGGCAGGTGCAGGTTACCTATGTTGGCTATAGACAAACATACCGCCACCACTGCTGCAGTAGCTGCTGGTGCTGGTGCTGCTGCTGCTGCTGCAGGTGAAGGGGAAGCATCGAGCTGGGCAGCAGAAGCACCATCCGCGTTAAGAACGTCCTCTCCAGTAGGCAATCCAATACTGAAACGATTGGTTACATCACCACTACTAACACCATTGCCTCCACCACTGCCACTTCCACTGCGATCACCGCTATTGACTGTACTGACACCACTCTCCAAAGTGCTTTCACTCGCCTCCTCTTCCACCTCCACCGTCCCTCCTCTCTTTCTCACTCCCTCTCTCACCTCCGCACTTCCTCCACTCCTACCGCTTACACTCTCTCCTCCCCCACTCTCGCTTCTCCCATTCCTCCCTCCTCTCGCAACCAACATTCCACCCACACCACCAGCAGCAGCAGCAGCAGCAGCACCACCAGCAGCAGCAGCACCACCACCAGCACCACCAGCTGCAGCAGCAGAGCAAGCCGCTACATGCCAGTCGTCCCCGTCCCTCCCAGACCCGCTCCCCCATCTGATCCCAGCCACGCGCACCACACGCACGCCCCGGCCCCCCATGCTCCCCCGCTCCTCCAACGAATGCCCCCGTTGCAGCACCCGCGCATGCTGCCTCCCGGGGGGGAGGGGGAGAGGCAGCAGAACATGCATACCCGCCCCTGCATACCTGCTTCCTGCCAGCCCCTGCTCTGACTCGTGAGGTGCTGCTGAAGTCTTTCCAGGGGGGAAAGGCAGAGGCAGCAGGTACCTGCTTCCTGTCCGCCTCCACTGCGAATCCGATACACCTGGCTGCTCTGCTTGCCATGCTTGCCCTGCTTGCCCTGCTTGCCCTGCTTGCCCTGCTTGCCCTGCTTGCGCTGATTGCGCTGATTGCGCTGATCGTCCTCCCACTACCCTACTCACTCCCCTCCCATCGTCCCCCAGTGCGGCCTCCCGTTCCTCTCTCCCCATCATGCGCAGTGCAGCACCCACATCTCTCGAACCTCCCTTTCCATCCGCTCGCTCCTCCCCACTCGCCTTCTCAACCACACCCTCACTCCCACTGTCACTCCCACTCCCACTCCCACTACCACTACCACTGCCACTGCCACTCCCGCTCCCGCTCCCACTACCATCACCATCACTGCCCTTACACCCAGCCGTGACTCTATCATGCCTCAATACTTCTTGCTTCAACCCTAATCCACCCCACACCTGTAGCCCTTCCCTGCCCTCCCTCCCATCCCCCTGTTGCTCCCCTCCTTTCACCTCTTCCTCCCCTTCCCTCCTTTCCCATCCTTCCAATCCCCCCCATCCTGTCACCCCTCCAACCTCTCTTAACCTCTCATACCACTCTCCCTCCGACACACACCTGCTCAGGCCCCCCACACTTCCCTCCCAACCTCCCCGCTCTCCTCTCCCGTCCCACCTCTTCCCCTCCTCCCGCACACTCCCCCCTTCCCTCTCCCCAACACCCCCACTTTCACTCCCCCCTGCCACACTCTCCCTATCTCTCTCCCCCACTCCCTCCTCCCCCACCAGCACCTGTTCCAGTTGCCGCTGCCGCTGGCTGGCAGTCCTAACTAGCAGGTCCATAATAGAGGACGACACAACCACTCTATGAACCACCTCGCCTTGCTCCATCCCACCCACCGCCGGCCTCACACCACCAGCGCCAGCAGCAGCAGCAGCAGCAGCAGCAGCAGCAGCAGCAGTCAAGCCAGCATTCGGTGTGGTGGTGGTGGTGGCACCGTCAGCACCAGTAGAAGCAGCGACAGTTGACGCAGGGGCGGAAGAAGCAGCAAGGGTGGCAAGAGCGGGGTTGGGATGGCAGCGCATACTGCTTTCCTCTGACTCAGTCCAGAAGCTTCCACTCTCCTCGCTCACAAACTCACTGTTGCTCGCATCCTCTTGCTCCTCCTCATCGTCCTCCTCATCCTCATCTCCCTCCTCATCCTCGTCGTCTTCCTCTTCCTCTTCCTCTTCCTCTTCCTCTTCCTCTTCCTCTTCCTCCTCCTCATCCTCTTCCTCTTCCTCTGCCCCTTCCTCTTCCTCTTCCTCGTCCTCTTCCCCATCCTCCTCTTCCTCCTCCCCATTCTCTTCCTCAACTTCCTCGTGTGTCTCCTCTTCTTTTCCCATCATCACTGTATGAATCGCCTTCCTTCCTTCCCTCTCTTGCTCCTCAAAATCCTCCCTCTCCTCCAACCCACCTTCTCTTCCCTCCAACTCTCCTCCTCCCCCCTCCAACCCACTCTCTCTCCCTTCCACCCCACCCTCCCTCTCCTCCACCGCACTCTCTCCCCCTCGCATCATATGCTCCTCAAACCGTCGCCTATACCCAGCCCTCCTCTTATCCGCCTCCCACGCACTCCTTTTCTCCTCCCCTCTCTTCCAAGCAGGGCTACCCACATCACTGTTACTCCTCACAAACGCCGGCGTCAGCAGCGGCAGCCACTTCTCACCCCCTCTACCATCCCCACCCTTACCGTCACTCCCCCTGCTCCCCCTGCTCCCCTTACTGTCACACCCTCTACTGTCACTGCCCCGGCTGCCAAAGCTGTCTATAAGGAACGAGTCCTCGTCGTCCTCTGTGCCGATGCGAAGGCCCAGAGCCAGGCGGAAGGGATGCAGGGAGAGGGAAGAGGAGGCGGGGACATGGCTGGAAGAACCAGAAGCAGGAGGCTTGCTGCTCTTACCATCACCATCGGCATCACCATTGGCATCACCATTACCGTCACCATCAGCGTCATCTGAATCATCAAAACTATCGATGGAAAGAAAATCGGTATGAGCATCATCAACCCCTCTCCCATCCGCGGCAGCAGCAGACGACCCAGCAGCGGCAGCAGCAGACGACCCAGCAGCGGCGGCGGCGGCGGCGGCGGCGGTGGCGGCGGCGGTGGTGGTGGTGGTGGCTGTACCAGCGGCAGTGGCGGTTGTTCTGGAGATGGCGAGAGGGTGGATGAACGGGGAGTACATGGGAGGGGTGGGGTGGATGATGGCAGGCAGAGAGCGACCCCGAGTGGGGGGCCGGCATTGAGACAGGCGCGCAGCACCTACAGTGCTGCTTGGATAGCGCTGCTGCCCGCGGTGGTGGTTGTGGTTGCCACTGGGAGCACGAGCACTGTAATCACCATCACCATAACTATCATGAGCACCAGATGTATAGTCATTTTCACTGTCAGTACGGAAGGCGGTGCTAGTGGGGTGGATGGTGGGCGATTTGAGCAGCTCAGGCATGTCATAGAGTGCTTGCTTCTCCGCCACCTCCTCCTCCTCATCTTTCCATACGTCCATTCTTTGCTGCTTGCTCTCTGCTCCTTGTTTCCTCCCTCCTTGCCAGCCCTCCATCTTATATTTTTCCGCTTCTGCTTCTGCTTTTGCTTCTTCCCTTTCCTCCCCTCTGCTGTCCGCCAAACGTTCTGTTTCTGTTGCCGCTCTGCCTTGATATCGTTCCCCGATTTGTTCCCCAAACTTCCCTCTCTCTTCTTCAGCTGCCTGCTCTCCCCTCCCTCGTCCTTCCTCCTCGCTTTCCCCTTCCTCCTCCCCTTCCACCTCGCTTCGCCCCTTCACAAATCTCCCATACCCAACCACATTCTCCTCTTTCTCCTCCTCCTCTTGAAGAGCCTTGCTGAAACCCCACAACCGCTCACGCCTCCCCCTCGCTTCCAATCCCTCCCCATATCCTCTTATCTCCTCTTTCGACTCACTCACCTCACCTTCCCCTTTTCCGTTTCCTGTCCCCCCTCGCTCTCTCTCCCGCTCCCCTCGCTTTCTCTCCCGCTCCAATCGCTCTCTCTCCTGCTCCTGCTCCTGCTCCAGCTCCCTCTCCCGCTCCCACTCCCACTCCCGCGCCCTCTGCTGCACTCTCTCTGTGTGATACAGATCCCACTTCTGCTGTTGAAGCATTTGACTATCCCACTTCCTCACCTCTCCTTCCGCTTGTCCTTCCCTTGCCTCCTCTCCTTCTAACTCCCGCTCCAGCTCACGCTTCCACTCCCGCTCCCGCTCCTGCTCTCGCTCCCGCTCTTGCTCCTGCTCCCGTTCCCGTTCCCGTTCACATTCCCGTTCCCGCTCCCGCTCCCGCTCCCGCTCCCGTTCCTGCTCCTGCGCCTGCGCCTGTTCCCTCTGCTGCGCCCTCTGTGCGTGATACAGCTCCCACTTGTGCTGTCGAAGCATCTGCCAGTGCATCTCTGCAGCAACCATCTGACTCTCCCCTGTTCCCAACCACCCCATACCCTCTTCATGACCCCTACCACTACCACCACCACCAACATCACCACCAACACCAACACCACCACCAACACCACCTCCTCCTTCTCCTTCGCCTCTGCCATCCACACTGCTTTCCCCAAACCCCATGATCCCCCTCCCAAAGCTGAAACTTGCTCCTGGAGCTGCATCAGCATCCACAGCAGCTTCAGCACCAGCAGCAGCAGCAGCAGCAGCAGCATCAGCAGCATCATTACCGTCAGCAGCAGCACCGCCAATACTGACACCCCCGTCACCAGCAGACGCACTTTGAGCAGCACCAACGCCGCTGCTGCCGCCGCCGTTGCTGCTGCTGCTGCTGCTGCTGATGCTTGCATGGCTGCTGCTGCTTGCATGGCTGCTGCTGCGTCGTGCCAAGCCCACGGCCACGCCCACAACCCCCGCTCCTGCCAAAGAGGGTCGCGAGCCCTCACCATGGCCACTAATGCCATCTGGCCTGCTGCTAGGGCTCGTGTCGCTGCAAGCACGCCTAGCGCGATACCTAGGGCTGTGCTCGTCAATGCGTTGCACAGATTGCGTCTCGCGTTGCCCTTCTTGCTCCCCGCGCTGACTACCCTGCCGTGGGTTGCGCTGCTGCCGTAGGTGGTAATCACTTCCGCTTCCTCCGCCTCCTCCTCCGCTAGAGTTGCCCTCTTCTCTGGAAGGCGCAGAAAAGGCCCTCTCCGCCGTTTCCTCCCCTTCCTCCCTCTGCACCTCCCTCCCCAACACTGCGTTCCGCCCTCTCCGCTCTCTGTATTCACCTCCGCCCCACACGGGTTGCGCCATGTACTCGCGGGATATGGCGCGCGCGGACGGGCTTACGTTAGCGCGCGAGGAGAAAGACGTAGAGCGCGGGGAACGGGCGGAAGAGCGCGGGGAGATGGTGGACGAGCGGGGGGGAACAGCGGTCGAGCGGGGAGAGACGGCGGAAACAATAGAGGATGAACGGCTGATGCTGACTGGGGAGTCGCGGGTATCATATCTAAAAGATTGTCGGTAACCGGGATAATTCTCAAAGTTTTGCGCTTCGGGAATGTCGATAATAGCGGGTGGAACGGAGTAAGGCGACGTGTTCCAGTTTCCCTGTAGAGGAGTCGTCGCGGCCGTCGCCGCCGCCGCCGCCGCCGCCGCCGCAGCAGCAGCCGCATTAGCCGAGGAGGATTCGGGGATGGTGGTGGAGAAAAAGTGTTCCCTCCGCGCATAGATAGCCGCTGCGATCGAAGCCGCTGACGTGGCAGGATCGATGGCGAGGCGGTCACTACCATAACCGCCATCGCTGCCGATGATGCTGCTGTCGTCATCTTGCGAGTAGCTGACGTCAAGCAACTCGCCTTCCTCCCATGGCTCCTCTTCCCCCTCCCCGTCCCCCACCACCCATGGGCAAGACTCGCGCCCGCCCAGCAGCGGGAATCGGCGCGCTGTGATGGTCACGCCGAGGCGCTCCATGAGAAAGCTTCCTAGAACGAGGAGTTTACGAAGCGAGGAGGGAGGGAGCGAGAGAAACCGGATGGACTTGACATGCTGGTTAGACGATCTTTTTCAGATTCTCAAAGCGACCTGGAGTATTTGAGCCGTTCTATTCCATTTTCTGATTTTCCATCGTTCTACGGGAAGGCGATTCGCGGATAACGGGCTAGCGGGTTTGGCTTTTGCATCGACTCAAAAGTCAGCTCGAACACTACGTCGAGAGTGCTGCTATGTCGCGAATTCGCGGATAGCGCCAGCAGTATTTCCTGTGAAAGTCCGGCGCATGATGGGCGGGCTACTACGGGCCAATCGGCAGGCGCACGAGACGAACTATTGGGCGAGAAAGATGAGTAAATGGTCGAACAAACGGACGAACAAAGCGGACGAACAGACAGACGAATGAAACAATGAAATAATGCAGAAACAAATTCGACGCTATGCTCGCTAGTTGTACCACTACTGCTGGTTATAGTTGTTTATGAAACGAGCAAGTCGAAAGAACTACTGTCTTGTGTGTTGCGTAAAGCCAGCTTCGCGCTTCGAAGGAATGGGATGTGAATGCGGTCATGTGAATATGGCATTTGTGGTGAAGGTGATTGCATGGGCGGAGGATCTGGCCGGACTAAAGACACTTGAGGAAATGGGCGAGATGAGGGAGGTCTCGGGGGGGGGGGGGGGGGGGCGCCGAAAGTTTGGGGGGGAAGGGGGAAGTGTACTGTATGGGTGGCTAGCCAGCAGTGTGAAGCGAGCGCGGCGAAATGTACAGCGACGTCATGCCACGCATGACGAGAGTCGCTCCACTTCGCATGAACGGGATGGGTGGGGTACGAGGGAAGAACCTCATCATCCTAGAAATCCGGGACGGGATGGGATGAACTGCCATGGCCGCGTTCTGCCCGCTCGGCTCGGCTGCTTTCCGCAGTCATCTGCAAACGCGTCTCGGCGGCATCAACTGCAGCCTTGCAAATCTCGATTGTTGCGATTGTTTCTGCGAAGAAATGCGGTGCACAGTGAAATCATGTTGTTGCTGACGGGGAGCTTTTGGCACAACTGCGAGCTCAGTTGCTTTCTTCACACCAAGGTAACACGGTTCAGCTGCTTTCTCAACCGCCCAGAAAAGTATTACCGACAAGAGATGGATTGGACCTACATTTTCCACAACTGGGCTCCGTTGCTATGAAGCCTGTCGTTCGTACGTTATGGAAAGGTGTGTACTGGTAAAGCATCTATCACTACATATTTCAAACCTATTGTGTGAAAATGCTTACATAAATACCATCCTCTGTTTACAAAAATAAGCAAAGACTTGGGTGGAGGAGGGCGGGGGGCTGGTCAATTGTGCACCACACGATGTGTAGGCGCTGTCGACGGCCTTGTACGACAAATCACTTGCCCAACTCCACTTGCATCGCGCGCTCCGAGTTTCACCAACCCCGCCATTTCTCCAAATCAACAATTCTTCCTTTGTCGGCAGGTTGATTTGAAAAGGCCGTCCGATCTTGGCGGCATGCAGGTCAAGCGGCTTCAACGTTTGGGTGTCCGGTAATATGTTTGCATGTGAACTTCTTCCGACAAAACCCAACGCCTGGTAGCGAAAGTGTAGCTGAAACTTTGAGCAAAACAAAAATCAAGTCGGGCTGGGCAGCTGTACAAACTCCGAGAGGAACAACATTCACATCGCAGCGCTTTGAATTTCATTGACCCTGACAATCCTACACCACGTGCCATATTTTTCTCTCTCCCATACAAGTTCAAGCAGACTTGAAAGATTCCAGAGTTCATCTCCTAATCAATCCAACCACCACACCAGCCAGAAGCTGGTAACGCTCCTAACAGCTCCCACCAATCCAAGCTAACATCACACTCTTCTGAAATACAGATGCAGGTGTGTGCGAACACCGACACAGGAAAAAATATCAACCTCTCTCCGTACTTTCTTACACGTGAAACAGCTTCACCACTTGCTGAATCTCCGCGCGGCACACAGGGCAGCCCCACCCCTTGCCCTTCACCTCGCCGAGGCACTCCATGCACCCCGCCACATGCCCACACGGAACACACACCGCCTCCGCCCGTGCATCCCAGCAAATCACACACTGCCCAACCCCCGTGCCAACCTTACTCTCCGCACTCCTGCTTCAACTCCGCTTGCACGCGAGCCGGGTCGTACGACGGGTGTAGCTCCACCTTTGGCGATGCTTCTGGCGCCGCTGCTGCTCCTGCAGCTCCTGCAGCGGTTCCTGCACCTGCCACTGCAGATGCTGGCAGCCCGTAATCCACCTCAATCGGAGTGGTGTCAATGGAAGGGTAAGCGAGAGGCGACGCGGCAAGAGGGGGAGAGAGAGGCGGAGCAGAGGGGGCCGTGTCTGCAGCAGCACGAGCAGCGGGCATGGGGATAGGGGCAGACACAGCAGTGGCAACTGGTGGCGGCTGGTACTGCCCTTCCTGCACCAAAACCGGCGTCTGCTGCTGCTGCTGCTGCTGCGGGTGCTGCGGGTGGTGTTGCTGAGGCAGTTGGGGGAGGGGGGGGGCGATTTGGGGCAGGAGATGCATTAGCAGGACCCCAGCCAGCGTAGCTATCTGCGTTGGTGCTAGAAGATCCCCAATCCGAAGCACCACAACCAGAATCGGCACCGGCACCAGCACCGGCACCAGCACCAACACTGTCATTGCTTCTCATAGACCGATCACCACCACTGCGAAAACCAGTCGACACACTCGCACCAACAGTGGCTGATGCTGCTGCTGCAGCAGCAGCGGCAGCAGGAGAGAAGGGATGAGGGTGATCGGAAGTGGAGGGCCCAGAGTCCCAGCCACCATAAGCTGTGGGAGGAGGGGGGACAGCATCCCAGCCACCCATGTCTGATCCAGCAGCGGCACTGGGAGCACTCGCAGCAGCTGACTGACGGCTGCTGTCTCGTTGACTCCCGTGCTGCTGTGCCGAGGGTGCACGCACTTGGCGCTGTGGAAAGCGGGATGAATGGGCGAGTGGGTTGGAGGGAAGTGGGATGAAAGTGAATGGGTTGAAGGGAAGTTGGGTGAAGCGAAGTGGGGTGAAGCGAAGTGGGGTAGTTGAAGCGAAATAGGTGGAAGGGGTGGAAGGAATCAAGGGAACACGAGAAGACCAGAATCATGTGAAGCACAGAATCATGTGCGAGGAGCAGGATGAGCAGGATGCGTACATGCTGAAAGGAAGAGAAAAGAAAGGGGTGCACAGAGGTGCACATGGGTGCGCATGAGTGTGTGTGCTTACCTGAGGAATGCCCTGGCAAGCGTTGTAGAGCTTCTGCATCTGCCCTGACTCTCCAGAATCCTTGTCCGCTGAGAACTTGTACTTCTCAGCTGCGCTCCACCACACCACATGTGCACCATGGGAAAGGGCGGGCGGGGGCGGCAGGGAGGGAGGGAGGGAGGGAGGGAGGGAGGGAGGGAGGGAGGGAGGGAGGGAGGGAGGGAGGGAGGGAGGGAGGGAGGGAGGGAGGGAGGGAGGGAGGGAGGGAGGGAGGGAGGGAGGGAGGGAGGGAGGGAGGGAGGGAGGGAGGGAGGGAGGGAGGGAGGGAGGGAGGGAGGGAGGGAGGGAGGGAGGGAGGGAGGGAGGGAGGGAGGGAGGGAGGGAGGAGGGAGGGAGGGAGGGAGGGAGGGAGGGAGGGAGGGAGGAGGGAGGGAGGGAGGGAGGGAGGGAGGGAGGGAGGGAGGGAGGGAGGGAGGGAGGGAGGGAGGGAGGGAGGGAGGGAGGGACGGACGGACGGATGGAGGAATGGAGGAGAAACAAAAGGGGGGAAAACGGACAATAGAGAATGGGAAGAGAAATAATGCATTCTGTGTTTGACCCATCATCCATGCACCCCTCAGCAACCTGCTGCACTCTCCTGAACCCCTCTGCACCCCTCCACATCCCTCATCATCCCCTCACACCCCTGTGCACACACGCACCTCTCTGCATGTCCTCTATAACGAGCACAGGGTCGTGTGTGTCCTGCTTGGTGAGGTACACGCGGCAGTGGTGTAGCAGCACCTCTGTTGCCATGGGGGCCTGGAAAACAAAACGGAGCGAGGGAGAGCGACAGTGAGACCAGGGAGGGAAAAAGGAGTGTGTGAGGAGGAGAGGAGAGGGGGGGGGGGGGGGGCACAGCACCTCTGTTGCCGTGGGGGCCTGCGGCACGGCACTGAAAGGGGGCGGAAAAGGGGAAGGGTGAAGGAGGAGAGGAAGGAAGGAATGAAGGAGGATGAGATGAGATGGTGAGTGGAGGGTTGCTGCTGGGGCCATCACATCACATCACATCCGGGGGACCAAGATTGCAACGTACGGGTGGAGCAGCACACTTGTTTCTGTGGGGCGCAAGCGCAAGACCGTGGACAGACAAAGTCGAGGACAAAAGGAGCCGAACAGGCCAGCCAGCGTGCATTGAGACGAACGTCAATTGTGCTTCCCATCCTGGATACTGATCAGTCATCCTGGATAATGCATGTGGCGTGGCCCACCCATGCTCCACATGTGATTCATTCATCCATGCCCAATCCATGGCCCGCCCATCCATGACCCATCTGTGTGACCCATCTATGTGCCCCCTATCGATGTGCACCCATCCATGTGCACCCATCCATGTGCACCCATCCATGTGCACCCATCTATGTGCACCCATCTATGTGCCTCCATCCATGTAACCCATCCACGTGCCCCCATCTATGTGCCCCCATCTAAGTGATCTATGTGCCCCCATCTAGGACCCATCCATGACCCATCCGTCCTACCTACCGAGGGTGAGGCATAAATGTTTAGTCGCTGCCGAGCGTTAGTGCCTTGGGATCCCGGCACCACTGCCACCCACCTGCCATGCCACCATGCATGCATGCACCACATGGGGGAGCACACGGAGCGGGGGAGCACATGGGGGAGCACATGGGGCGGGGGGGCACATGGGGGAGCACATGGGGCGGGGGGGCACATGGGGGAGCACATGGGGCGGGGGGGCACATGGGGGAGCACATGGGGCGGGGGGGCACATGGGGGAGCACATGGGGCGGGGGGGCACATGGGGGAGCACATGGGGCGGGGGGGCACATGGGGGAGCACATGGGGCGGGGGGGCACATGGGGGAGCACATGGGGCGGGGGGGGCACATGGGGGAGCACATGGGGCGGGGGGGCACATGGGGGAGCACATGGGGCGGGGGGGCACATGGGGGAGCACATGGGGCGGGGGGGCACATGGGGGAGCACATAGTGCGGCACATGGAGGGGAGAATGGGGAGAGCATAATAATATGCAAGAGTGGGATGACAAAAGATTATATACAACGATGACACATCCCCAAGCAGCAGCTTCATCATCACATGCAGCAGCAGCAGCAGCGGCGGCGGCGGCGGCGGCAGAAGATGCAAACCAAACCAAACAAACAACCCAGAAAGGAATTTACAAACAAGAGCGAGAGATTGGGCATGGAACGGGATTAACGGGGGTGGAGGGAGAAATTGGAGGGAATTCGGTAGGAAGCAAACAGAGAGGGTATGTAGCGAGCAATAGCAAAGAAAAAAATCAGCTTGCTAGAAAAAAGGCACAATGAGTTAGAGTGGCGGCGAGACGCTTACACTTTCTTGGAGACCCACTGAGGCACGAGCGCCTGCAAGAAGGCTGGTCCGGACAGCTGCTGCTGCCGCACAAAGCCAATGTAGAGTGCCACACGGTTCTGTGCGGTGGAGAGGTGTGTACCCGGGGATGTATGAGTGTGTGGAGAAGGAGGAAGCGGAGGAAAACGTCAATCCCATTGCAATGAGATGAGAAGATGACTACATTGCAACAAAGAGGGTTTACATCCCACTCTTCTTTACATGTCATCCGCTTGCCTCCATATTCTCATCCTCTGCTTGTGAGAGGGTTTTCTCATAGCAGTACATTCTTGTCCCCTTCTCCGATTCTCATTGCAAAAAGAGATTAGAGACAGGACAGACGGAGGAAGAAAGAAAGGAAGAAACAAATGGAAAGAAAAGAAAGGAGAGAACAGAGAGAGGGTGCGGGTAGAAAGGGTTCCCTCGTCCCTCTCACACATCTATGACGCGCGCAGCGCATGCTGTGGTGGTGTGGTGGGGGTGGTGCTGCTCTTGGGAATCCTTGTGGTGCAACACAACGCACCTCTGTAATGCAACCCAAACCCAATTGCGGAGCGCAGCGCAGCGGAGCGGAGCGGAGCGGGGCTACTTCTGGGAACCCTCCAAACTGAAGCGCAACGCAACGCACCGCACAGCACCGCAACGCAACGCAACGCACCGCAACGCACGCACGCACCTCTATGATGCGCGCCATGGTGGGGCGGTGCTGCTCCCACGCTATGTCCAGCGCGCGCCTGCCTATGTCGTTGGGGCGCAGGGGGTCCGCTGCGTGGCGCAGTGGGGAACGCGGAGATGGAGGAGAGAGGGGGAGGAGGGGAGAGGAGAGGAGAAAAGAAGCGAGAAGATGAGGAGGACGGGAGGGAAGGGGAGGGGAGAAAACCGGAAAGGAGAACAGGGCCGAGGAGGGGGAGACGCAAGAGGGAAGGCGTGAGAGAGGAGGAAGAAAGAAAGGGAAGAGAGAAGGAGGGAGGAGAAGGTCGCAGAGAAGGGGGAGTGAGGGGCAGCAAAGGAGGATGGATCGTCCCAGAAAGAGCCGGAAACATAACAAGGAATCATAATCACCCCCCCACCTTACCCTCCTTCCCCCCCTCTTCCCTCTTTTCCCCCCCTCCTCACCCGTCCGTCCGCCTCCCTCCCCCCCCCACCTCCATAGTCGAGCAGAAGCTGTACTGTCTGATCCAGCCCCTTCCTCGCCGCCTGGTGGATGGCTGTTCCGCCCTGCGCCCCTGCTTGGGGGAGAGAGAGAGGGGGGAAGACGGGGCGGGCAGGGGCCGCAAAGGAAGGGAGGGACGCGGAGGGGACGGGAGCGTGGGGGGGAAGGAGGGGAAGGGGAGTAGGAGGGACATACGATATCAGCAAAGGGAAGAGGCAGGCAGGACGGTGTAGGAATGCGGAAGAGAGGGCAACGACCGGGGAAACGTGTTGCAGGGGGGCAAAGAGGGGTGGGGAAGAGGGGCGGGGAGGGGAGGGCAAAGAGGGGGGGGCAATAGGGTTTGGAGTAGAGGGGAAGCAGATGGGTTAGTAATAATAAAAGAGCTCAGGGTCGTTTAAAGACATCAGCGACGCTCGTGATAGGGCGTATCCTGCGTGGAGCACGACATGATAGCATTTGCCCGCGAGTGACAACGACGCAGAAGCGCCATTGACGCCGTTCAAAGCGCGCGTTACTTCCGATCCGCCATAAACGTTAATGACGGAAGAAACCGGTGGGAAATCGGAGGCGTCAAGCGGAGGACGCGTCAGGAATCAGTGGCGGGTGACTTGCCTCGAACGTAAGCGTTGACGTCAGCACCCAGCTGAAGCAGGAGGCGTGCGACAGGAAGCATGTCCGCGCGACTGCATGCGATGATGAGCGACGTGCGACCGTGGCTGTCTCGCCACTGCGACAAGAAAAGTGGAGGAACGGACTCGGGCGATAGGGAAAAAGTAGAGGACAGCGGAGATTAAGCGATTAACTAGGGCAAAAGAGTGGAAGAAGACGCACGCGTAGTCGGTAATAGTGCTTTATGTTTCAATCATAATTCACAGCGTCAATAATAAATATCACTGCTAAGAAGAAAAAAGATCTGTTGGAATCATTACTCTACATTCCAAAAAAAAGCGACGCTTCTATCCAGTATCACTAGAAATCAATCCGCCTCCGTTGCAACTAATGTTTCCGTCAGGCTCGCATACTGTACCTCCATACCCACGCCTTCCTGCCGGAGCCGCTTTATTCCGCCAACATCCGCTCTCTGTGTCGCCTGATACACCATTTCCTCTCGCGACACGCCCTGACCCATGGTGATGGCGACGTTGAAAGTGAGCGCAGTCTTTATTACTAACCGAAACACACGCAATTCCAAGATTAAAATCAGAAGCAGCGAAGGGAAAAGGAGGGCGATGTGGGAGTGATAGCTTCGGTTCTTCCACACACACGCAAGATAAAAGAAATGAAATAGGCGCGGTGGTTTTTGAAGCATGGACGAAAGCTCCTGTTGATGTGTGCAGCAGACAAGACAATGCTTCTGATTCTGCAGTGAACTTTTTGGTCGGTCGAACACGGGCAAATGAGTTTCAAAACGATTTGATGCGGTTCATTGAGGTGAAAGACTCATAAGTACACATATGCTAGTATATCACATACAGGAAAGTTGTGATTGGCTGGGTGGGTGCTGCGACGAACTTGACGGTTGCCGTGGCGTGACTGCTGAAGCCAAGTCCAAGTCCAAGGCATTCTCTCTAATGTGGTTTTTACTTGGAAACCCTGCTCAAAAAGAGTGACGATGTTGATATCTTAGAAAACATAGCCTACACACAGATGACAACATGCATCTTACAAAAAATAACTGCACAACAGCCTGAACATGATGACATAATAGAAGACAGACGAGCTTAGCCTGGCCCTCTGAAACGCTACTATTCTTTCTTTCCATGCAGCGACGAAACCAGCAAAAACTCAACCAGACTAGCCTTGTCTGCTTCCAATGCCTGCACTTGCCCTTTTAAATCCGATATGAGTTCCAATGCCTGCCCAAGAACTGTCTCCATTGTCATCCGCGACTGCCCCTGCGGCAGCACCTGCTTCAGCTGCTGCAGCCTCACACTGCAGAGTGCAGGGAACAGGGTGTCAGATGAGACAATTAGAAGATTAGATGGAAATTTTCAGCAGAGCCACTGTCAACAGTCAAAGAGCTGAAATCAACGCGAAACATCACTAGAGCCACTGCTCCATACCTGATCCCATTGCGTCGCTTCCTCTCTGCCACAGTCCTTGGCTGCTTTGGACCCCCGCGACCACCGGCCCCAGCTCGAGGCATGGGCGGGATTCCACTCTGCTGCACGTTTATCTCCCCCCCCAGCTGCTGCTGCAACAGCTGCGATGACGGCGACGACTGAAACGCAAGCTGCTGCTGCAGCTGCTGCTGCCCCTGATGATATCTACCCTGGAAATCGCCAAAAAACGGAAGATGCTGCTGCTGCTGCTGCTGCTGCTGCTGCTGCTGCTGCCCCTCCTCTGAACACCTCTAAGGGTTCCTCTAAGTCACTGTTCTCGCCTGAGCTTTCCTCCCAGGACAGTTCTCCAACCTGTAAAGCAGGAAAAACAGTGGAGATGGAAACAACAGAGCACAAGCATCAGAATCAGGCAGCGTGAGCTCTGAAAAGTATCAAAACCAGAGACACCGCTGCTAGACAAAGTAAAGCGGAGAAAACAAGAGGGAAGGGTTTTTTTTTTTTTTTTTTTTTTTTTTTTAATAAACATTCATTGAGAAACAAAGGGTAAAAATTGTGAAACCTCACCTTGAAATCATCTGCCACTGAAGCCACCTGCTCTGCTTTCTTCCCAAATCCTCCGGACCATTTACCAACCATCTCCAACCGGCCCAGCCCTTTCTCCATCCTTCCGCCTCTACCCAACCCGTCGCCCGTCGTTCCCCTCGCCCGCTTTGCCCGTGGCTCGTCAGGGCGATCGTGAGACCAGCAGCCCCCTACTGAATCGCCCACTTCCCACTCCTCTTGCCCCACCGCATGGCCCATATCCGGGACAGGCGGCCTGGACGGCGGGACGCTTGTCCGCGCGCCGGCCACGGGCAGCTCCGCGGGGAGATGCGCCGGCGGGTGCGCGGCGGGATGAGCGGGGGAGTGCAAAAGATGTGCGGGAAACACGGTGTGCGCTCCGGACGGGGTCAACGCGGCGGGGGGAGCATTCTGCGCGGGGAGGAAGGCAGCAGGCGCGGGGGAAGCGAGAGGCGTGGACGGCGGAAAGGGAGGGGCGCGCGCAGGACCGTTTGGAGGTAGTGCTGATTGCGCATGCGGGAAAAGGCCAAGAGCATGGATGTTGGATACGGAGGCGCGGAGATCTCCAGATCCCAGCCCCGCCCAGGCCTGCAGCGCCTGCTGCTGCTGCTGCTGCTGCTGATGCTGCTGCTGTTGTTTTTGCTGCTGCTGGAAGTCTTGCTGAATCATATAGCCCTGCTGCTGATGCGTGCCTTGAACATCGTATACAGGTTGCAGTGCTGCCGGCACCGAAAAGAAATCTGCGGTTTTAACACCAGTCCGCGTCCCAAACCCAATTGCAACGTCCACGCCCGTTGCTAACCCCGGTTTCGTAGCGGTCGGTTCTGCTGCGAAAGCGGCGGAGGCGGGGACACAAGGGGAGGGGGTAAAGGGAGCACCGCTCCCCCTCTGAAGCAGGTGCGCGAGAAACGAATTTTGCACCACCTGCTCCTGCTGCTGCTGCTGCTGCTGTTGTCGCAGCAGCAGCTGAGTGGACTGCTGGACTTGATTCAGCGCAAGACCAGGAAGCACTTCCCTTCTTCCACAACCGTCCATCGCGATCTGGTTTCTCTCGAGAGCAGCTCTCTGTAACGGAAGGGCGTCGTGATACTCAGGCTGTTCCGCCGTGCCGCAACGCGCCTGACTATTTCCAACAGCGTCACCCCCGTAAACACCAATACCACCGCCGCCCCCCCTCGCCTCACCCCCATACGCCGTACCCCCATCCCCATCACCCCCACCAAAGCCTCCCTCAGCGGTGCCGCCAGCAAGTCTAAAACCAGCCGCTGCTGCTGGCGCCTGCTCGCTGCGTTCGTGCCCCGGCGCTCCACCCGCCGCTACTAGATCCGCTGCCGCCGCCGCCGCTGCCGCCGCCGCTGCCGCTGTTGCTGCAGCCCAGACCTCGAGAGGATTGAGAGCGGGCAAAGCGGGGTGATCGGACGGAAGGGACGGAAGGGACGGAAGGCCGGCGCGGAGAGAGTTGAGGAGGCATGCAGCGAGGGGCGCATGGGCGGAGGACATGTGAAGGGCGTTGGGTTGTGAAGGGATTTGCAGCGGGTTAAGACGCGGAATTTGCGGCTGGTTCTGAGAAAAAGTGAAGCGGAAGGGTGCGGGGGGAGGTGCGTGGGGCGACGGCCCGTCGGCGCGGGCCGCCGACGCAGCGGCAGTTGCGGGGAGTGTCGCGGAAACGGTACCTGCCCGCCTGTCCTCCCTACGCGTGAGATGCTCTAGGCCGAAGGTGTGGGGAGACGCTGGGAGGGATTGCTGGACAGACGTGACAGTAGCGGCAGTGCCTACAGCGGGGGCAAATGACTCAAACGCGGGAACGGAGGCACGGAAACCTTCGAGATTGTCGAGGGGAAACGGAGACGCGTATTTGGGTAAGGGCGCGGTGGGATCCGTCGGGGCTGGGGGTCCAGTGTGGGGGAACGCAAACGTGGTAGGCTTGTGCGAAAACGGCGGGAGATGTGACGGCGCGGGGGGCGGAGAGAGTGCGAGCGTGGCGGAAGGATGCGCGCACTGGTCCCATCTCGCTAGCGGTGCAGGGGAGGAGACGAACTGAAGGAACGGCTGCGCGTACGGTTGCTGCGGAGCGGCCATGTGTACAGCGAATTTGAATTTAGATGAGGATGGAAAGGAAGCGATATCTGACAAGAAAGCGAAGATCTAAGAAACGTCAGAGAAAAGACGGACTTATGAATCTATCTAGCCTCAGTTGGTGCCTTGGGAGTGTGCAGATGCTAATACGGCTTTCGAAAACAACTAGCGTCCGCTAGCTCAAACGCCACTGTCCTAACATAGTACGAGACCTTGGACGTAGGAAAAAGCCTCCTTCAGGATGTGGGCTGGAATAGTCAGGAAGGTGAAGGAGCAGCGGTGTCCGGTGCTCCATGGAAGGGAATGTCCATGGCGTGGGAGGGAAGCGTAAGTTGCAAGGTTAGCTGTGTCGTTGTTGCGGAGCGGAATCTCCCCTCCCCTCCATTGGTGGCATTGCTGCCATTCGGCCAATAAAACCGCTAGGTGGAAAAATGGAAGGGAGAAGGGGGGGAAAATAGAGGACGCAGTAGAGTGGGTAAGGGGGACGGTAAGAAGGCAGGTCTTGTGCCACCGCGACTGCAAATAGGGTGGGAGGGAGGGAAACATGCGATGATGGGATGGGATGGGCATGGTACAGTAGAATGATGTATGCATGTGTATGGTGGTGGATGCTCGCACATGATGGTCATATCGCATTGCTGTTGTGAACTGTCGTTGGTCTCATGACTGACAGCAATTGCGGTTTACAAAACGGCTTCCAATCCAAGTCATGCGTCCTTCAGACGGGCAAAAAAAATGTGGAAACTCCGCCAACATAGACTGCACTGCCTGCCACCCCATCACCGCCACCCTGCCGAAACAATTCTCTGCTGCAGGTTCTTTCACAGCACAAGATGCGGGACACCACTTAGGGCGCGTGTGATCAAAGTTCGAACTTCCCAAAGTTCGAACTTTTAGAAAGGTTCTACACGGTAGGATACAATTGAGCGATGTCTCTCCACGATGCAAAGCGGTTTGAGTTCGAACTTTGACAAAAATCCTTGGATCACACGCGCCCTTACAACCGTAGAATTTCAAGAATTCGCAGACCTGATGAAAGAAGGAAATTAATTTTCAGGAAACTCACAGAACTGATATAAGCCTATAATTAAAGGGGGGAAACGTTAACGGCCTCAGAAAGCATGATTTAGGGCCCTTTGGAGCAGAGCTGGAAGAATCGGAGCACAAAACAGGTCGTGTATCACAAAGGCAGAGGCAGCTTCGGGGTCTATATCGTCACTGTATGGATCGTTGACAATGGCCCAGCCCAAGAACCTCTCCTGAGGGTGTTTGCTTGCAACGCGTTTTTGTTTCCGTGACATCTGCCTTGTATCATGCAACTGTATCCCGAACTGCTGTTCCCCAGCCAGCGATGACGCCGTCGGGACGAAAGGCCAATGGAATGGACATTGAATGGGTGCTCCTGCATTCATTCCGTTACCATATACATATGGTACCAGATGAGGCAGAAGGTGATGATGATGTTGCATAATGCCAGTCCAGTGTACACACAACCCAGGGCCGTTTCAAGTAGGCCACATCACCACCTGTCATTCAGACAAACACTCTCGCTTCTCTCGTGGGTTGATTCGTTCACGAAGAAAATGCCGATGCATTGCTGTTGCTCATTCGTTGGAGTTTGCATGGTGGACTTCTCCAACTCCGCATCGAATCCACCCATGCGTTTACTGTATTGGTCTGTCCGACATGACAACCAAGAGAGAGGACGAATGCGTCTTGCAAAATTTTAATGCCCATTCTTCGATTTGAGCGCCCCCTCAGTCCCATCTGTTTTCCCGCGACAAGATGGGGAGGGGTTGGGTTGGGTATATATGGTAGCCTACCTGTTCTGACAGGCGACCTCAGCCATTGGTTGCCATCACCACTACCACATGAAGTGGCTGTGTGCCCAGATCAATGGTGCCTCTCCTCAATCCCGTTGTGTACAGTGGCAGGCACAGCCCGATCTTCGGATGGCCAACACTGCTTGCCAGTTGGCGAGGCTCTGTGCAGAGGTCTTTCTTCTTGTCCGGGGACGGGCAGCTGAGGCGACCGACAACAAAGCGACGTCCACCACCATGCTTGCGCCAAAATACGGAAGATGACCAATGGCATGCACTTGCGCCAAATCCAGGAAACTTCCTGGTGTTTCCGAACAACGTCGCGAGTTTCAAGACGCAGCTGGACAAAACCAGAACTACACGTGCTACTCGTTTGGCAAGTTGATATCACATTGCAGTCTCCAAGCTACCAATAAACGTTAACAATACTGTACTCATACCTGAAATACATTTATGGTTCACACTTTCATTTCTTAACTCAAGATTTGCGGACATGAACAACAATAACTGAACAGCCCAGATGGATCATGCTGATTTTTTTCTGATATGTACTGTTACGAATAGTGAAATATGACTGTGCACTCATAACCGCAGCAAAGCGAAGCACATAGTATCGAGGCACGAACGCGAAGAATCAGAGTTGGCTCGAAGCAGCGCAGATAGTTGGAATGGATCTGGACCGTCGGAGCAGATGGCATCGGGCAGCTGCAGGAGCGAGGAAACTGGCGGGAACAGTTTCGTAACTGTTCGAGTCGCACAGTTGGGTTTGAATTCGAATCAATGAATGTATCCCTTAGAGTACATGGCTAGCTAGGTCGTTTCGTATTCCCCTCTGTACTGGTACTGTTTATAAGTTTGTATCTGCATGTTTTAATTCATCTCAAAGCATTTTACATTCACTCTGTTTTGAGGTCAAGGGCCCTCCACTACCAATCAGCTGTGCGTGAACCTTCCCGAGGTGATCCCAGGGTCGACCATCTTCTGATCGTAACATAGTATGAGAGCGACTCGAGAATCTCTCGCACTACCACCTCCGAAACCTTCAGCGAACGAAAGGTAAAGTCAGGCACACGATCTCGTGTAAGGATGGCCGGAGGATCCGGAGGTCAAACAAATCTGACGGCTGAAGCGCAACCCAACCCAGTTGCGACAAACGAGGCGACGACAACCATTGGCACCGCGGTCCTCGCACAACTGCTTCAGCGACTCACCAGCCTGGAGCAAGGACTCCAAACATTGCGGAATGGCGACGCGGGAACATCTTCCCAACCATCTCAACCGGCCTCGAATGGCCAGAACACTGCCCCGCACCCATTCTACCTCGACACAAACGGCTCAACACCCAACACTCCCCGTCCTAGCGAAGAAGCAATTATCTCTGCGCAATCAAGGTTTATCAGGATTTAAAAAAAAAAAAAAAAAAGTGTGCTTTGACGGCAGAGATTTCTATACCTGGAGCTTCGAGCTGGAGCTGCTGCTGCAAAACGCTTATATTTTTCATTACTTCGACGGAAGCTACTCAGGATCTATTGAAGACACCGCCGACACCTGGGCGAGATACTACAACGAGTCACTGATGGCGTACGGCGTTCTCCTGCGGAACATGTCGCCGGCGGAGCAGTTGAGCATTCGATCGTACAAGGAATCCCCTACTCCAGGCCTCGACGCTTGGCGCCACCTGAACGGCGTATATCAACCGAAAGATTCGGTTTATTCGAGCCGCCTACTCCAGTAGCTACTGGAGACGAAAATGGCCCCAGGGGAGAAGGCCAATAGCTACATCAATCGCCGTTGGAGCCTCCGCGATCAAATCGCGAAGTTGGAAAGCAGCATCTGCGAAGAAATCTTCGTACATATTGTGCTTCAAGGGCTCGGCCCAGAGAGGTGGCCCTGCAAGGCGCTTCTCCGACAGCAGAGGGTGATCTCGGAGGCCGCCCTTCTCGTGGAACAGAGGGAAATCGCCTCACCTTGTACGCCGACAACACCGAAGAGCGACGGTTGCGGCGCCTCTACTGCAAGATTTGCAGAAACTTCGGGCACCTGGCCGATCGATGCAATTCGCGATCTCGCCCTCGCCAGACCAATCCGAGCAAGTGGTCCGGCCGAAAAGACGCACGAAACGACATGCGTCCAGCCCAAAGGTATCAACCTCCCATCGCGCAATCTGAACCTAGCGGTTCAGCATCAGCAGCAGCGGCCGTCACCACCTGCCCCAGCGCGCAACGTCATGAAGAATATGGCCATGATTAGCGAATCCCGTCGTCGCCGGGTACGCTCACCGTCACCTGAGCCAGCACCTCACCCAATCGGCGCGTTCTCCAACAACAACCCGTTCAGCACGCGCCATGACTTCAGCAATAACGACGATCAAGATTGGAACCTCCCAATCCCGTTGCTCGAAAGTCCCCCGCATGTACCTGATACGCGGGCGGCGCCACTCGATTGGCTCTCGCGCGAGCAATTTCTGAAGTTTGACACACCACATATTGTTACGCCGCGTCTGGCGCTGCTCGCACGTGACGATCACAAGCGCTACAACACCTGGTACCTGGACAGCTGCAGCGGCCAGCACATGGTGAGTTCGGAGCACTTCATCTCCAACGCTGTAGAAACCCCAACAGTCACTTATGTCACCGTGGCGAACAACACTCGCCTGCGCGCAAGCGCGCAAGGAATCGTCGTGCTCAAGGCACGAGGAAGCCGCACACACATCACTCTTAACACATGATGTGCTGATCGTCCAGAACCTGCGCTTCAACCTGCTCTCCGCCGCTCAACTCCTGGATTGCGGCGTTGAACTCGGCACGGATTGCGAGACGCGCGACATCCTGCTGCACTACTCATCACCAACCATACCACACAGGCAGATCGGAAGAGCGCACTTTGAAAATGGAGTGTATGTTCTTGACTTCGATATTTCTGACTGCAGCGGCGATTCGAACGAGCTAATCGACCTCGTTCCACTATGCTTCGAGCACATTTACTGCAGGGACTGGAAGCATCCTGACGAAGACCATGGGTGCCGCACCACCCTCACCCACGCGAGCTAGCGCTGCACAACCCTGACCCAGACGGCAAATGCAGGGATTGCCACACGCCCACCGCCTCAATTAGCGCACTTGCCAGCCGTGGTCTCGCCGCCATCGCCGAAGCAGAGCAACATGCGCCGCCACAAGAAGGCAT